ATGAAATGGACTGATGACTCTTCTTGGATGGCTTCCTCGGCTGCCTTCTTCAACTCTACGTCAGCACCTTTGAGGTTGGTGCCTTGGTCGGACCATAATTCCGTGGGACACCCTCTGCGGCTTATGAAGCGCCGCAGGGCCATTATGGCGGAGTCCGTGCTGAGGCTGCCGGCGATTTCTAGGTGGACTGCGCGCGTCGTTAGGCAGGTGAAGAGCACTCCGTATCGTTTCTGGCGAGTGCGGCCCACTGTCACGGTCATAGGCCCGAAGTAGTCTAGGCCGGTGAACGTGAACGGTCGTTTGATGATGCGCCAGCCTGCTCTGTGGATGGTTGCCCGTTGACGGCTGCGCCGGTCTTGCTCTTCGTAGGCGGCACAGCTGACACCTCTTCAGTTCACTGCGGACGGCGTGTCGTAGGCGCAACACCCACAAGTGTTGTCGCACCTCGTTCGTGGTGATCTCGAAGCCGCCGTGGTGAAGTTTCCGATGCACCCATGCGATGTATAGGCGCACCCAGGCGTGGTTTCCGTCGACGATGGGGGCTCTCGTTGCTCGGCTGACAGATCGGCGGCGGCTGCTATCCTCGATCGAAGTCGCAGAATGTCGTCGTTGTCTATGACGACCGACAGCTGTATGAGTCGACTGGATGACGGCAGCTGTTTCCCTTGTTTCAATACTGCGATTTCGTCGCCGAACGCCTCTTGTTGTATCGCGCGAATCCATAGCCGTCGCGCGCGCGATCTAGGTAGTGTGTGTCTATGGGGATGAAACACACAGATGGACTATTGCTGTTCTTGATTTTCATCTTCGTCTTCTCTCTATCGACTTTCTTCGTGCGGGTCCAAGTGGGGTCGGCGCTCTCTTTCTTCTTGTTTCTCTTTCGGATGGCGGTGCAGCGTTGACTGGTCGGTCGCAGGAGGTCGATGAACTGCAACACCCGTGCTGAACTGCGAACAAGTTTCAACCAATTAGAAAAACGTGACGGATCGGGTAATGCTATAGACAACTGCGTCGCGTTCTGTAGCTTGTGTACGCGTTCTTCTCCCGTTTCCGCTTGACTATCGTCGCTCGTACTATCTTCACGCGGCCACTGCTCTTCGTTTTTGTCGAAATTCCTTTCGACCGGTCGGAGACGTCGCATCGTCGAGTCGTAGTTGTCCGGCGGCACAGGGTCGTCCTTCTTCCATAATAACCCCGTCTCGTATCCTCCCGCCGGTAACGGACAAGTTTTCTCCTCTAAAATGCGCAGGGCGCGACGTTCCTCTTCATTGTAAGACCTCTTTGGTGCGATTCCCAGCGATTCGAGCGCGAAATGTTGCTTCATCATTTCTTCCATCGATTGTTCCTCTTCATGTGTCGTCACTATGTGGCTGATTCTGTGCACCTGCTGTCTTGTCCTGCCGCGACTCGTACCGTGCAGTACCCATCCCAGGTCGGTGAGTGATGCGACCGGCTGCGTGTCGGATCCTCTTCTGACTTCGTGGGCCAGCAGTAGGTGCCAGTTGTCTTGCCCCAGCAGTACCGTCGGTTTGCCCTCTTCGTAGACCAATTCCCTCTCTATGTCCCGCAGATGTGGACAGCCCTTGATGACGCTGCGTGGTACCGACTGCGGTGATAACTGCAGTCTGTCCATCGTCCGTGCCCCCACTGTGTATTCTTGTGAATTCCGCCCGCGGATCTTGAAGTGAACACGCGTCGATTGAGCTGCGTTGATCCGCGCCCCGGCCACACCTTCCATGTAGAATGGTGCGGGGGGACCCGTAGCACCGATTCGCTCCGCCACCGTCGTCTCGATGATGGTGCAAGTCGACCCGTCGTCCAGTAGCGCGTAGGTGTCGCACGTTCCCGTGGGACCGGTGACTCGTATCGGCAGGATCTTCAGGAACGCGATCTTGTCGTTTTCCCTTGCCGATGCGGCGACTGCGGCGGACTTGTCCTCGACGACGTGTGTTGTTACTTCATTCTCCGGCTGTTGTCGCGTGGTGTGTAGCAGAGGGTGATGAGTCTGCGTGCACTCATCCACTCCACATCTCTTGCTCTTGCAGGCGTGGCGAAATCTTCTTACTTTGAGGCAGCGGAAACACAGCCTATGAGTCTTCGCTAACTCCCATCTCGCCGATGTGTCTGCTTCCTTCATCGTCTTGCAGTCCGATGGAGCGTGTCCCTCTCGTCGACACATCGGGCACGGTGGTGTAGCGGGTTTCTCCTGCGTCGTGTATGTCTTCGCCGTCTTCCTAGGAGCGGACTCCCGCCGGTCTTCGGACGGTATCTCCTCGGCGGGGGCGAAGTTTCCACATCGTGCGGCGGTCCTTTGCAGGAACTGAGAGAGTGTTATGAGGTCCGGTTGTCCCTCCGGTTGGTCGTTGGCGAAATCGTAGTACTTGAAGCGTAGTACCGACGGCATCTTCTCTGTGACGTTTCTCACTATTTCTTCGTTGTAGAGGTAGTGACTCTTGTTCAGCGCTCGTATCGTGGCGACGACGTTCTGCACCTTGCTTGCGAAGAGGCAGACGTCTCTTGCGTTGTCCGAGAGTCGTGGTAGCGCGCGGAGTTTGTTCAGTTCGGCTGTGACGAGTGCTCCAGGGCGGCCGAACCTCGCGGCTAACATCTTCATTACTTCTTCTGCGGTCGTAGACCCGACGAATAGGGAGCGTGCCGCGTCCTTTGCGGCCCCCTTCAAGCTTCTGCGCAGTCTTGCTAGGTTCTCTTGTTCTGTGAGTTGACTTGCGCTCTCTTCATAGGCCATCTTCCATGGTAACCACTCGCTCGACGATCCATTGAAGACTGGCAACTCGGTGACTCTTGACGCTGTGGAGGGCAGTATGTTGCGAGCGGCCATCTGCATGGCGATCGCAAACTCATTGCAATCGATGCCCACCTTCAGCACCGGTTCTTCTTTCTTCATCGACTGCATCGCTGCTGCTATCGTAGGAATGGCGGCATGTGGGTCAACGTGGCGTGCGTGGTCCCGGTGAAGTGCGTCGCTGCTCGGCTGTGGCGGCGGCGCTCTCGAATCCTCTTCAACGGGTCTCGATGGGACGAACCCCTGACGCTTGCCGGTGACTTCTTCTATCTCTGGTACATGCGGCTCCATTGTGAGTGCCAGCGTGCTTCGACGAACCCAATCCGACGTTCGTTCTCTTCTGACGGTAGCGTCGTCGTCTTCTATTTCCTCGTCGTCCTCTGATTCGGCTTCCAGGGCGGCGACACGTGCAGCAGCCAATTCCACCTCCTTTCGAAGTAGCTCCTCCCGTGCCTTGGCCAGAGCCTTCTTCTTCTGCGAGGCCGTGGTGCGAACCGTGCGTGCCGTGCCGTGCTTCGGTTCCTTCTTCCTTGCTGTCTCCTCTGTCGTTCCTGTGGCTTCGGTAGTCTCCGTGGCTCCTGTGGTCGTCGTATCGCCGGACGTGTTCGTAGTCGATGTGGTGGCGGCGGTAGACGACGTGGCAGCGACAGAAGGCATTCTGACAGCCGCAGACGACGTGGTGGCAGCAACGGACGGCGTGGCAGCGACGGACAGCGTTCCGGCGGCCGTAGTCGACGTGGTGGCGGCGGATGTTGTGGCTTCGGTGACGGCGACTTTTTGTTGCGACGACTTCATGTTTCTCGTAGTCGGCATTTCAGCGATCCGGCTTCAGAATGGTCTTCCTCCAGCGATCCGGCTTCTCGATGTACCAACGGTGTTCCTCCAGCAATCCGGCTTCTCGAAGGACCACGATGAACGGTGTGGACTGCCGCACGGTGAGCGTGGACTGTAGGGGCGTTGGTTCAGGCTGGAGTGAAACACAGGGATTACTATTCTGAAGCCTCCGGTACCGTCTGAAGAGAGTATTTTTTCTTCTTGTCCTATTTCTTCTCGAGTGTAGTGCGTCGCTGCCCGGAAGCGAATGCCGCTCGACGGGAGGCGGCCTATCTTTATACCCGCCCGCTCGCACGATAACGTTTCCAACTCGCGATAGCGATCTGTGCGAGCGGGACGGGGCGAAAATGAACGAGACGCGTGTCTCTTCAGATCGGTACTCTATAGCGTCTATTTATTTATTTTATTTCAATTTACAATTTCTTAATTCTATTTATTGTTACAATTTCTATTCGTAGGTAATAACGACAACACGCAAAGGAATACTTTATTTAACTTACACTATCTTAAATCTATGTAAATCTATATAAAATAACAGAATACAGAAACGATTAACTAGGGACTTAACAACTATAAATTACGATATATACAAATAATGTCGCGAACAATATATATATATATATATATATATATATATATATATATATATATATATATATATATATATATATATATAAAAGATTTATTGCACATAAAAATATACAGTTATGGGCTTACAGAAATTTCAAAGTGAATTATATGTGTATAAAGTGTAGCATTATGCCCAGCACATTAGTGTCTAAACTAGGCCTAGCCTGTGTCTTAGACACTAATGCCTTCTATTAGATACATATTTTCGTGCTGTTTCGCTATATTAAAATAGTACAAGATTCAGTAAACAACATATTTTATATTACTAAAATAGGGTATCTGTAAAATAAATTACAATGTTGTATCAAGAAATGTGCCATTATAAGTAAAGTAGATATCATGCTCTGCATTGTTCAGCTGGTCATTAGTGCGATGAAATATATGTACATATAAACTTACAGATAATTATAATTGTAATTTCGGCGAAGACGACCCTGGACAACCAAATGCAGTGTAGAACGACTCCAAAACATATAGAAATAATCTTAACAATTATTTTTTAACCAAAAAAGTTTACTCTCACATAGAACTCTTTATTGCACACAAATATCTTAAAGTTAAATACTAGTAGTTAAAATGAACCCAAAGACATAAAAATGATCTACCTTGTAAAGTGTACAATATTTTGGAAAATTAACATCTTTTTTTATTTGCGAGTGACACATTCATATGATAATCACCTACCGTAACAAAATATATTAAAAAAATCTTCTAAACAAAGTATTATACGCAGGCTGCCAACCAAGCGAAGGAGTCCAAGAAGGCACAGAAGAAAGCGGCCGCTGTGAAGGCCAACAAGGGCAAGTCCGGTCCTCGTGGCCCCAAAATCCCTCAGCCGACGCCGCTCATACTAGAGGTCGAGTCCGGCGGCGAGGAGCTCGACCCTGAACCCGAGGTGAGATATACAAGACTGTGAGATATACAAGTTCTGAATAATTTATAACAAACAGGTAATAATTTCTTTAATGAGTGTTTTTTTTATTGTTTCTTTTTTTATGCTAGTTAGAATAGTATGCATACAAGCTGACGGCCCACTTTCCATCAGGTGGGCCGTCAGCTTGTTTGCCATTCTAAGTTGTATAGAAAAAAAACTTATTTCTTTTATTTTTATATCAGAACAATAGAACGTACAATCTGATTAATTCTATTTTTCACTTGATTCTACTTATTTTACCACATAAGCATCTCGAACGAGACCCTCTCGTGGATCAAATGTGTTCCTATCTATCTATCCCGAGTGAATACCTCTCGCCACTTATAAATATTATGTTTATATTTTTATCTGGAGTGATACCTTATCGCCTGTTTGTATTTCAAAGAGCTTAGTGTATATTTATTGTATGCTCATTCGAATTTTGACCTTATTTCACAGAAAAGCCCTCGCATCCTCCTCAATTTTTTTTCTATTAACCACCCTCGTGGTTAATAGAAAAAAAATCTTTTCCATATAAGACACCATAGAGTTGCTATATCTAATTTTATTTATCTCTATGCCCTTTTCATCCCTGTTCTTCCTTTTCACCAGGGTGAACAAGGAGAGCAGGGCGAGCAGGCGGGCGGCGTGGACGCGGATGCGGAGCTGTTGAGTCAGCTGACGGGCTGCCCCCTGCCGGAGGATGAGCTGCTGTTCGCGGTGCCAGTCGTCGCGCCCTACACCGCGCTACACAACTACAAGTTAGTACGCCAATCTGTACTGTTCTGGGGGAAAAGGGATTGTTAGTAATAGGGATCTGATAGCCCCATTGCTAGCAATATACCGTATCATGCCTACTGCCACCTTTTACCATTGTACCGCTCGCCATCGGCAGGGAATCTATCTTCACACCTTAGGACCAGGGAAAGGAAAGGGATTCTCAGCAATGGAGTTTGACAGCCCTATTGCTAGCAATATATCCTATTAGGTCGACCTCCACGTTGGTCCCCTTGAAAACCGTCGTGAACAGTTCTTGTTATATTCGTCACAATACCTAACTGACCTGCTTCATCCTCACCTATCATCTCTCACTGGTGCCCCGCCGGTGTATTTCGATAGCGCGGCCGGGGTTACCATTCTATTATTACCCATTAAAAAAAATACACTTTAGGACCAGAATGGTCACACAGAGTGCAGTTTCAAAGGAGCTTTCTCCTATGAACACTCAGGTAATGAATTGATCTTCCTTCTTCAAAAAGGACGTATTAAGTTTTCTTAAAGGTCGGCAACGCGCACGTAACATTCCTGGTATTATAGGCGTCCATAGGCTGCGGTAACCCTGTTTACCGTTAGACGGTGTTGCCATCATAGTAGTAAAAAAAATCAAGTCAATCTCCACACAATTCCTCCTGGAAACAATCTTGGTTATTTTTTTTTTATTTCGTCACGACGGTCCAACTGACCAGTTTCATCCTTATTCAATGCATCCTTAACCACGTGGAGGTCCACCTAATAGGGCATATTGCTAGAAATGGGGCTGTCAAACTCCATTGCTAACAATCTCTTTCCCCCCTGATAGCCCCATTGCTACCAAGATGCCCTATTAGATCCACGTTATTCCCCCTGAAAACCATCGTGGTTAATTCTATTGGAATTCATCACCACGGGCCAACTGACCTACTTCATTCTCACCTATCATCCTTCACTGGTGTCCCGCCAATGTTATCGGTATAGCGCGGGTGGGGTTATCATTCCATTATCACCCATTAAAAAAAAATAGGCTGTTCCTAGCATTGAAATCTGTAATCCTTATCACTAACAATCCCTTCCCCCCAAAAGATGCTGGTTTGAAACCTGTCAAAGATAAAACCCGACTTATCGTGTCCAGGTACAAAGTGAAACTAACGCCGGGCGGCAGCAAACGGGGGAAAGCGGCTAAGACAGCGGTGCAAGTGTTTCTTCGCGACAAGGCGGGAACACCCCGGGAGAGGGACTTGCTTAAGGCAGTGAAAGAGGAGAACATTGCCAGGAACTTCCCCGGGAAAGTCAAACTGTCTGCACCACAGCTACACAAGCATAAGAAGTGATTCACCTTCAATTCACACTCATCTAAAATCTATACTTATAATAAATCTGTATGAGAGCTCAATTCTGTACATGAAATATATTTCCAAAACAACTATCAGGCGGTGATTAGTGATCGATACTGATGCCAAAAATGCAATCGGTAAAATTTTTGTCTGTCTGTCTGTCTGTATGTTCGTTATAGAAACAAAAACTACTCGACGGATTTTAACGGAACTTGGTACAATTATTCTTCATACTCCTGGGCAGGTTATAGTATACTTTACATCACGCTACGATCAATAGGAGCAGAGCAGTGAAGGGAAATGTTGGGAAAACGGGAGAAGTTACTCCATTTTTAAGCTACTGTCGCGTGTGCAGCCTTAATGGCCACTTTTTTAAATGTAAAAATGTCCACCCGTGCGAAGGCGGGACGGGCCGCTAGTAATATTATAAAGAAGGGAATATTTGATTGTTTATTTGTTTTATTTATTAAATGAAAATGTTACGATGCATTACATGGGATGGAGAGTCTAAAATCTTCAAAAATTGTTCTGCGTAATATATGAACGCCCCCCAAGACAGGTCACTAGTGCGATCGTATCTGATTTGATATTATCATGAAATTACTGTATTATAGACCATCATAAACTATATTTTTAAAATTAGTTTTACTTAAATCTTTGTATTTATTTATTTATTCATCAACAACTTTAACATTAAAACACTAAAACTCCCAGTTACACACAAATTTCCCTATTTAAAGTTTTAAACTTTAGATTTTTCAGCTGAATTTTAGAGTTAAACCAAAAACAACTATTAGAATCGGTCATTCTGTTTTTAAGTTTTATCGAGACTAATAAGCAGTAATTTTTTTATATCTCTCTCTCTCTCTCTCTCTATATATATAAATTTCCCTATTTAAAGTTTTAAACTTTAGATTTTTCAGCTGAATTTTAGAGTTAAACCAAAAACAACTATTAGAATCGGTCATTCTGTTTTTAAGTTTTATCGAGACTAATAAGCAGTAATTTTTTTATATCTCTCTCTCTCTCTCTCTCTCTATATATATATATATATATATATATATATATATATATATATATAGAGAGAGAGAGAGAGAGAGAGAGAAAGAGAGAGAGAGAGAGAGAGAGAGATTAGTAAGGATTTAATGTATAATGTGATTCACTTTTCTTTAATACCACGTTACGCAATTTCAGCAATCAAATCTGAATGATATTATTGTTGTATGTATATTATGTATAAAATAGCCAATTTGTTGATTTATATAATATAATTTTACATGAATATTGTCTTTTATTATGAAAAAATTCCATGCCTCCTCGCCGCGATGTATTGTACCTTTTTTTTTACGCAACTTAGAATGGCAAACAAGCTGACAGCCCACCTGATGGAAAGTGGTAACCGTCGCCTATAGACATGAGCAGTACCATGGACATAACAGAGTATACTGTTTCGCCCATGATACTCCCCATGCGTTGCTATTCCTGAGGACTCAGGTGTTATTCCTCTGTACCCTGTAAATTCACTGCAGAAACACAAATGGGACAGAGGTACCCAAGCAATCGACTTTTGTACAGTCTCCCTTTGGTTTATAGTGGACTATGAAATGTCCAGGGAGTTAGTGGATGTAGGTGGCTCAAGACCGTTCCTTATGGCTGTCTATGGGGGAGGCCTATGTCCAGCAGTGGACGAATAATGGCTGAAATGATGATGATGAATGCAATGTTAATTTTTTATATACCACTAAGGTGGCAAACAAGCATACGGCCCACCTAATAGTGAGCGGTTGCCGTAACTTTTAAGCGCCTGCAATACCAGAGTCATTATCCATTATCTATATCAGAGGTATTTTTTATTACAATATATACAGCCAACTCTCTTGACGTTATATTTGCCAGCAACAATAAAAAAAAAGATGTATGAAGTTCGAATAAGTTTTACATTAAAATTTTCATATAAAGTCTACATTGATTGGGCCCAAGCTGCATACATTTCTGAAACACCTTATCCAGAACTAGATAATAAATCCATATGAATAATAAAAAATCTTTATTATACTCTAGATTACAAAGACAACAATAAGTAAAATAATAAGTATTACCACAGTTATTAACTTTAATAGACAAATTATCAGCGTATGAAATGTCGCCTATTGCGATACTTAGAGAGATGAACTTAATTTAATAAGCTTACAAGAAGCAACTTTTTAATCTTTGCAAATACAGTAATACGTCGTCGTACAAACGCGTTATTCGGGGTCGTACAAGCGCGTTATTCGGGGTCGTACAAGCGCGTTATTCGGGGTCGTACAAGCGCATTATACGGAGTCGTACAAGTGCGTTATACGAGATTACTTCTACGACTCGTTTTCTAAATCGAATCGAAAAACGAATCTACTGTGTCATAGGAGGGATTACTGTAATATTTGTTCGCTGTGTTAAGGAAACGTTTGCTTATTTATAGCAAATCTTCGTGCTTTTAGTAAATTGTATTCATGCTTAATTTAATTGCTTTACTAACTTTATTCTGCTGTTAATAGTTTTGTTGGTCTACAATTCTAGAGGTGAGTCATTTGTTCGTGTACTTTTTAATCGTCTTCTTCCTCTTCTTCTTCACCAAAGTCTTCGCCATCACCCTCGCCCAGCAACGGTGGTGGTACAGGTGGCAAATGCGCAATACGGTACGCCTGGCAAAAATAATCCAGCAATCACCAGTACATATACTTCAGGGTAGTTATATGTAAGAATAATATTGTATTCGAAGCAATGAAAGACTGATATAACAATTCGAAGCATGGGATTACAACACAGACAAAAAGCCATAAAAGAAAGAGTTAAAAACTACTACAGTGTGGGACCTGTACCTCTTCATCTGCGAATGTGGGATCGGCCATCTCCATGACCTCTGGACCTACGACATACTCCTCCTGGGGCCGCGGCAACTGCAGCGGAGAAAAATTAGGCGGACGGAACTTAATACCCCAACCCACGTACAGGCATTCAGACTTTCTGAAATGATTCAATATTTTCCATCGTAATATAAATATCGTAAAATAAAATATTGTCACAGATATTGCACCAGCTATCTTACCCTTCAAACTGAAACAGTAACATGTATTGCTGTTTACGGCAGCAGTAGCTAATATGGTGAAACAAACTTACTTCCCATTAGTGGCATACGCCACTGCACCAGGCCAAATGTTACTTCTCAATACTGCTAGAGCGCGATCAGGTACCAGGTTGGTACTGATGCGAGGACTCCACGCTGGCAGCCCTTCGACCCTGACGTCTTCCGATAGCGGACTGAAGAGTGGAGGCCCTATTTCCGGCTCTATTGGAGGTGGACCTTCATCCTCTTCTTCTTCTACATCTTCCTCCTGAATTTATCAATTATCATTGTTATATACTCGTAATAGCTTAGCTGCGTGGTCTCAGCATAGAATAGGCCACCCCTTCCTTTCGCGTGGATATCGTAAGAAGCGACTAAGGAAGGGCTAGGGATGGGCAGCAACGTCTCTCTTAAAACATTTCCAAGGCCTAACTGCGTTTACCAATTCGCCTGCCAAGCATGGCAACTACTGGCAACCCCTTCAAAGGGGAGGCTTATGTTCAGCAGTGGACAGTCAAAGGCTGATATGATGATGATGATGATAAAATAGCGATGAACGTAAAAGACCTTGTACAATATACACGATGTTATGTACATAAAACAACTTCCAATTTTATTTTGGATTTAAAATTTTGTTATGACATTTTACAATATCAAGATACTTTAGCCAACGGATTGATTATCCATCCATGAGCCCATTTAATATCTTGATTACCCATTTGCTTATGAATGTTATATATATATATATATTACATTACTTTGTTATTGATATTTACCCTTCTTTGCATAATGGTGGAAATTTCCCTCATAACATTGAATGCCTAAAACTTATATAAAAGACCAAGTTCACTTTAAGCTGATCGTGTCTGGATAATTTTTTAATGTCCATTGCGGAAATAAAACATAGCTTTAAAATTTTTTTTTAACCATTTTTCCTTTAATTTTGAACATGAATTATATCACTTTGATTTATTTCACCAATAAAAAAAAATCTTGCAAAGAAGGGTCGAACCATTTTAGGCTAAACCCACAATTCCCTGATTTCCGTAGTCTTGCCTGATCCTTCTACAAATGATATACCTAAATTTGTGTCTTAATTCAGTATTCATTTTTATTATATAGAAAACCATCATTATCACCATCTTATCAACCGTTAAATGTCCACTGCTGAACATATGGTTCCCCCATAAAGAGGGAGTGGAGATGGGGTTTCCCAGTAATCACCACGCTTGGCAGACGGGTTGGCAACACCAATTAGGCTTTTGGTGGTGTTTTAAGAGGGTTTCTGCTTTACAGAGAATGTTTAACAGTAAATGGCTGTAACCATAATGCGGATAAAATGTATAATAGTATTAATATTAACAAAGTATTCACCGTTTCTGCATTAGGATTCCACCACAGGGTCCTACCCTGTTTCAGGATATGTCTCCCATGATGAACCCAGTATGTTAAGTTAGGATCTAGAAGATCTTTAATTGTATGGCCTTGGTAGAAAGGATTCGGATTGAAATCCATGTCACCTGAAGAATAGAAGAAGGAGTTTTAATTTTAAAAAGTTCTGATTTTGAGGGTAGTCCTCGACCGTTAATAACAATTATTGTCCAATTGCTGGATGACTCTATGACTCTATCCCATTATAAAGTACCAGACTTGGTATCTAATATTACCAGGCCAATCAAGCGGCTTACTAAATGGTTATTTTGAATTTTCCTTCTATTGCACTGCATCTAATGCTCCTCTTCCTTTCTCCTTTCCTGACTTCTTCTAACTACTTACTTGAGCAAACAGAGGTGTACAATGTACTGCTCTGTCACTTCACAAAGACATACAAATTCGGTTCGTGTCTTTAATGTTTAATACATATTAAAATTTGATAATTCAATCTACTCCTTTCCTCTATTTTTCGTCAATGCGTAATACATAAATAATTCGACATTTCAGTCACTTACCACCTCCCTCCTCCATGTCAATGTCCTCTTCCTCTTCACCGGAGCCGTAGGTGTAGAAACCCTGTGGGGATATGGAGGTAGCAGAAGCGATGCGTGCGATCTGCGCGCGCAAAAAGTTACGCTCCGTACCATTGAAGGGGGGAAACGACAATACCTGAAAGACAGTATTAAATTAATAAAATATATACTCAGTTTAGTTTCATGTTTAATTAATAAGTCTACTAGGTAGGGAGGTACTATATGATTCAATTCAGTATTAATGGGACGACACATACCATCTTAGGTACAAATTTACCTTGAAGCGACGATGGCATTGCGTACGTTCAGTGTAATCTGACGCAACAAGTTTAACAACTTAGTTATCGTGATTAGCAACTCATGAGGGGCTATGTATCACTCCTTCTAAGGTTACTCATCTGCATCAATTCGTATCATCATCACATCACCCGTTAACTGTCCACTGCTGAACATTTTTTTTTTTTATACAACTTAGAATGGCAAACAAGCTGACGGTCCACCTGATGGAAAGTGGTAACCGTCGCCTATAGACATGAGCAGTACCATGGACATAACAGAGTATACTGTTTCGCCCATGATACACCTATGCGTTGCCATTCCTGAGGACTCAGGTGTTATTCCTCTGTACCCAGTAAATTCACGCCATTCATTGCTGAACATAGGCCTCCCGTTATTAAGGATTTAAACCCTCCTTGGTTTTGCCAGTACTTGCGACGCTTGGAAGACGGTTTTGCTTTGGTAATATTTTAAGAGGGACGCTGCTATCCATCTCTCGATCATTAAGTTCCTTTAGTCGCCTCTTACGACACCCACAGGAAAGGAAGAGGTACCTTATTCTATATGTCCGGACGAAACAGCAGATATTGTTTTTTTAAATAATGTCACGAAACTGAGCTTTAACAACTCTTTAAATTTTGCCCTGTAGTCCCGGTATAAAATAGGCCACCCCTTTCTTTCCCGTGGGTGTCGTATGAGGCGACTAAAAGAGGACGAGAGATGGGCATCAGCGTCCCTCTTAAAACATCTCTAAAGCCTAACTACGGTTGAGAACCTGCCTGCCAAACGTAAGAACTACTGGTAAAACTCCCCAGAGGAGACTTATGTTCAGCAGTGGACACTTAAACGCTGATGATGAATCCAAATTTTAAGGAACTTTCAATCTTCCCTTGTGTGATGTTGACCACGACAAATTAATATTCTTTATGATGAAAAATCAAATCTCCAAATTCATAAATAGGTACGTGTTAAGAAAGTGTTAGGAGCAACTGACTTTTTCTACTTAGGTACCTACTCCGTGAAGAACCTGATGTGAAAATATATAATAATGAACTTTATTATTACAGGCTGCAATGGTCCAATTTATTAGTAACATAATCTTAGACTAATATTAGTAAATCTTACAAAAAAATAAATATTTAAAAGAAATAATAAACAAATTTGGTCACCGCTAAAGCATCCTATTTGAGATACTACAACAGTGACCAATGTAAGAGCATCCTGTCCATCCTGTTGGCAATCATATTCGTATTCAGAATGCTGTTGGTGCTGCCTTGTACCCTACACACCAGTGACGCGCATCTTTTACGCATTGTGACAAAAACAATCTACGCAGGTTTCTGCAAACATCCTTGATGGACTACAATATCGTGGCAACCCCAACAATACCCTGAATGTATTATTCTATTGAATACGAAGATTGCTATAGGATTCTTGGGTATAGCTAGCCCACAATCTCACATATAAAAGGATGTACAGTATTATATATGGATAGATATCCAAAACCTTACCTCCGCATCCAGATCACCCGTCATAACCCTTACGATTTGCCGTGCGACCCTGATCTGTTCAGGAGTGACGTCCGGCAGACATATCCATGGCTCCCCGGGCAGGTGACAAACCCAATACACCTGGAACATTTAGTTTTTGTGATTAACATCGATTCATGCACATCTACTTGCCAAGCCACACGTCTACTTGTGTATTTCAAACTCACCCAATAGATTATATTTGCATGTTCTTTTTTTATGGGTGAAAATGGATAATACTTCGGCTGCGCTACCGGTATATGTTGGTGAACACCAGTGAGTGATAATAGGCGACGATGAAAGCTGGTCAGTTGATCCATCGTGACCAATTCTACAAGAATCAACCTCAATGGTTAATTCTTGTGCATATTGTTAGTAATGGACAAAGCGCAATACAGTAAAAAAACTCAGTGTCACCATATAAAAATGTTCCCTGTTACTCAACAAATAGGTTTGAATTACTATAACCTTTTTGTTAACTCCCTGGCCGGGTCTCTCGACCGGTATGAGCGGTGGGGGCTGCCACATGGACACCGGCAGCGGCGGTAGCTTCGGTGGCACTGGCTCCTTTGATTTCTCTTCTCGTTCTTCACCTTCGCCCACTTTATAAAAAAATATACCTAACGGTCTACAGGCTAGAAAAATGGCAGACAGTGGAAGGAAAATATCTTAAATATCCAATACTGGATATCGGAAATTCAATAAACCAACTTTTAGTAAGTTGGGTAAGCTCTACGTGTTCTGCCGCTTCTACTCGTCCAAAGAACTGTGCTCAGAGGAATCATTTAGAATTATGCCCACGGCCAATTTTTACCATCGTACAGGTTATTATCGACAGGAAGTTCGCCCTCATTTCTCAGAGCCTGGATGGCCACGTACAACGCGGTTTCAGAGATGTTTCCTTCCAGCTGTGAGCCAGTGAGCTCCCTGTCGAGATTTTTGCGAGAGACTACAGCATAGGGTTCTTCAAAAAAGAAATAAAGAGGTTTCTTTAAGGTATGCAACGCGCGCGTAATGCCTCTGGTATAGTATATCATAGGCTAAGGTAAGCGCTAACCATCAGGTGGATCGTATACTCGTTTGCCACCTTAGTGTTTTGTTTACAAGCTCTTTTAAATCGTCAACTTTTATGATTCTACTGCTGGGCTCCGAACGTTGTTATCTGCTGAGAAGAACTCGCAGGAAACTCAAGAATTACTCTTTTGAATGTCAGGCTATGTAAGGAGATTTATTTCTTTAGGGCTTAATTTTCGCTACCTAACCCATAAAGGATCTTGTTTAAAGAAAGAATAATTTACTTAATTCCTTTTGTTCTTCAGCCTCCAAAACGCGGGCTTCTTCTAAGCTATCCCCTTCACCCGGCACATCCTTCAATTCAAACTCCTACACAAAACAAAGAAAAATATTTATGAAGTTGTTATAACTTTCAGCACATAATATTTAAGAAAAAAGTTGCCTTTTTAAAGTTATTTCTAATTTTAAATTTTATTTAACTACCAGAAACTGTATAAGTCATTTCTGCTTTAATGTAATAAACGACGTACTAGCGTTACGCGAGTGCTCGCGTCATAGCCACTAATGAATAAGGATCACAAATAAATACCGAAACTAGTCGAGATTTTGATCTAATTACACGTATGTTAAACTGGTAGTTACTATTTTAAAATATAATACATATGTGTCATTTCTGGTAATTAATGCTGCTGCCCTACTCGTGTTTCTGCTGTAAAACAGCTACAGTTGCATGACTGTGTTTTTAAATTAGTCCTCTCAAAAAGCAACACTCAACCACCTTGAACATCACCATGTATTCTGTGATATCTAAGATGCTATATAGTAACATATAGACAACGGCTTTCACTTTTTTACCATTTCTAATTGTATAGCTATAATTTTTAAGATTAATTTGTAAGATTTTATACCACAAAAAAAAAACTCCGACTCCAATCGTAACAGGACAGGTTATTTTGATCTAAAAACTAAACTACTGAATCGACTTTGATAAAATTTCTACGAGACTAACCTGAAAGTACATTCTTTCGAATAAAAAAAGAATTTTCCAAATCACTTCATAAATGACAAAGGTAAGAGGTAACAAACATAAAAAAAATACAACCGAATTGAGAGAACCCATTCCTTTTTTGAAATCCGCCAAAACAGAATCATTCTACTGTCACTAATTATTGTCACGTCTTCAAAATTACCCTGATCCTCCTGTCGAGCTCGTCTATGGTAAGATCTGTCTCTGCAATATAATAATTCGCCTTTGTGCCGAAAATCTTGCCGAAGAATCTACGGAGACATCGGAATAATATTTAAAACATTAGTATAGTACAGGGGTTCCTAAACTTTTAAGATAACGGAATGCCCACCAAACACCTTTTGTTTTATGAAACCCCATATCAAACGAATACAAATCAAAAACACTGTAATTTACACTATAAACTTAAATCGCGTAAAGTTAAACCCAGCTTAGCTTGGATGCGTAACTACTGCCCTGTAGATACAATTAAATTTGAAGAGGATGCCTCCAAGCTAAACTTTACCAAGGTGCATGTGGCGTCACCAATGAATGACAAAGTCTCTTAATTTAATAATATAGTCTTGAAATTGTTTGATGACCATGCGCCATTGCGTGTAGTACATGTCAAACGGCCTCCAGCACCGTGGATTCCCAGGGGGGTACATATGGCCATGAGCCAACCCGATAGAGCTTTTAGAGCCTTTAATTTTTGTGATGATAAATGGGTACTCTAGAAACTTGCACGGAATAGATGCAACCAAACGGTTAGGGCAGCTAAGAGACAACATTTCCAATGCTTCTTCGTCCAGCATTTGAAAGTTTTTACGTTCTCTTGGTCTTGCAAAAAGTAAATTTGATACTTCCTACCCATTCGCATCAAATGATCTTAACCGTCAGTTTGCAACCCTCCTGCCAAGCGTGACAGCTAGTGGTAAAACCCCCCAATAGAGAAAGGGCTATGTTCAATTAATGACTGATACGTCAAGTCATGGTATGGTATATATCCAGTGGTATCTATCCATTTATTTTAATTCTATACTTTGCCAGTATAGTGCTGTATTTTGTGTGATATGGTCGAACCGTATAGGATACGTAGGAATACGATAGGAACTTTGTAAAACTTTTTAGTAAACGAACTCACCTGACAGTAGCAACTGGTTCCTTGATGGCCAGCATGTTGAGGGCGATGTACACCGCGTAGCACTCACTCTGCGGCAATCCGTACCCACCCTAAGAGGGAGAAAAAGGATTGTTAGTAATGGGGTCCAACTGAGCCATTCCTAGCAATATACCCTATCAGGTCGACATCCACGCGGTTCCCCTTAGTAACCATCGTGGTTAATTCTTGTGAAATTGATCACGATGGGCTAACTGACCTGCCTTTTCATCCTCACCTATCATCCCTTACTGGTGCCCCACCAGCGTATACCGATAGCGCAAGCGGGATTACCATTCCATTATCACCTATTAAAAAATACCTATCCTGACAGTAATATTGTTACGTTACTACCTTCCATACTTTCAATGCGACCTTGTACATCCATCATTACTCAATTCGCCATAGCCATCACATCATCTCATCTCAGCCATTATCTGTCCACTGCTGAACATAGGCCTCTCTCATAGACTGCCATAAGGAACGGTCCTGAACCACCTGCACCCACTGACACCCTACAATATATTTCAGACTGTCGCTCCATCTAGTGGGGGAGGGGGTCGTCCTAGACTTCGAGCTATGTGATCAGCCCATTTCCATCACATATAAGTATATTAGTTAGTAAAATTTGTGTATTATTAGTATCTATAAAGGATAACCGTGAGAGATACTGGAAACCACCAATCCGTCCAATTGGAGGTGGATTCCTACCTCTCTCAACGTAGCCAATGATGCTACTAAACCAAAGAAAATATTTTTGTCTCCTTCTCATAGGTGGTTTACTGGCCCACCATTTCTTTTAAAATCATCATCCTCTTGGCCGTGTGAAATTACCAAAGACGAGGATGAGACCTTACCAGATTCCGAATTAAAATCGGAACATGTGGGGCTGCTCTTCTACGTCCCACTACCTGACCTGTGGGTCGTGCTCATCCTAGAATAATTTGATGTCCACGCCAGGACGCTTGCGAAACTTGCCAAAGATATATTTATGAGGACATATGAACCTTTTTAAGCTACCAGCATCACATATTGTCTATCTATGCAAACTTTAAACAGTCTTCCTTTGCTATTTATAGAGATATGAGTACATTAATCAAAACAGCAACAATGGATAAGAAACCTCAGCATATCACTGCTCCCTCTGGTGCTACAGACATAACCGTATTTCTTTTTTACCTCTCGGAAATAATAATTGTGGTCGATAAGGTCAGCGATCTTTGGCTTCACTGAGTCTTCTTCCAGATCCAGTTCCTGCTCTTCTTCGCCAAGATTTTCCATTTTATTTAATTTACTGGCCACCAGCTATTGAACAAGAAATTAAAAATTAAAAATCGTGAACTCATCAAGTCTTTGGGACATGGATGGATAAAAAATTCAAAATGAAAAATTACTGTATGACAACATACGAGTCCTAAACTTTAAATTTTGCATAAGGCTTCTTAAGTAATATATATACATACGCGTTTACAGATATTTTAAATACACTATCGGGACTTTAACGCGATGAGAAATGTGCAGGTAAATAGTATCTACATAACTGCTTCTTTATTGGCAACATTTCGACATGAAATGTACCATTTCGTGGTCACAAGACATCGCGTTAAGTCCCGATAGTGTATTTAAAAAAGATTTATAATATAGATTCATAGGCGTATTTAATGGGGGGGAGGGAGTCCGATTCCACTTCATAATAATCTGATGCCCACACCAGAACTCAGGATCAGAATGAAACATCGCAAAGAAGTTTGAAAATACCTACATTTGCACCTTTTTTACGAGGGAGCCCTTCCCCCCTGGAATGTAATCTTGAAAGTGGCTATATTATATAACGGCATCATATTTATTACCCTAAACATTCCATTCAGTCGCTGAACCGCGGAGAGTTGCAGCGGGGACAGGTAAATGTCGTGGAGCAGGTCGAAATTGGGGCGGAACTTCTCTTGCTTCACCTCCCACGAATATTGCTCGAAGTTGTCGACCACATCAGACGGCTTCTGGCTCAGTATCTTGTGTACTACGTCCACCAGATGATCATACCTTAAGCATATAATATTAAGATTGAATTTAGAATGCTTTCAATGAATGAACGAAGTCATATTAGCAGTGACTAATTCACTAAAATGAACCACGATGTTTTCCAAAAGAGGGGATCGCATGAAGGCCGGATAGGCTGATTACCAGCAATCTGATCTATTACTTACAATGTCCTCTACCTCTCTTTATCCACCCGATAAGTAGGTAGTAATTTTTTTTATGGATGATAATGGAATGGTAACCCCGCCTGCACTAACAGTATGCGATGAGAGAAAAGGGATTGTTAGTAATGGAGACTTAGAATCCCATTGCTAGCAATATACCCAACCAGGTCGACCTCTTCGCGGTTCACCCTGGAAACTATCATGGTTAATTCCTCATGAATTCATCATGATGGGCTAACTGGCCTGTTTTCATTCTCAATGATCACCCTTCACTGATGCTCCGCCAGCGTATCCTGTTAGCGCAGGCGGCGTTATCATTCTATTTTCACCCAGCAAAAAAAAACGGTATGCGCTGGCGGGGCACCAGTGAGAGATGATAGATGAAAATGAAAATATACCTAGAACTCTGCATGATGGTTTCCAGGAGGACCACATGGAAGTCGACCTAGCTATATTGCTAGCAATGGTAGTCCGCATTACTAAAAAACCCTTCCCGCCAATAGATAGTAGTTAATAAATGGAAATGAAACGATAACCCCGCCTGCGCTATCGCTATACGCTGGCGGAGCACCAATGAGAGTTAATAGATGAGGATCAATCAAGTCAGCTGTCCCATTATAATGCATAAAAAAAATTTACCACGATGTTTACCTGAAATACCATATGGAGATTGATCTGATAGGATATATTGCTAGCAATGGTCCTTTAGGAATCTACTAACAATCCCTTTTTACCAGATGGAGACTGTACAAAAGTCGTTTGCTTTGGTACCTCTGTTTCAATCGAGTTTCAACAGTGAAGCAATTATGTATGCATAGTTGTGTTTCGGTTTGAAGGGTAGGATATGGCACTGAATTTACAGGGTACAGAGGAATAACACCTGAGTCCTCAAGAATGGCAACGCATAGGGGCTATCATGGGCGAAACAGTATTCTCTGTTATCTTCATGGTACTGCACATGTCTATAGGCGACGGTTACCACTTTCCATCAAGTGGGCCGTCAGCTTGTTTGCCATTCTAAGTGGTATGAAATCAGCAAAAAATAAAATAAAAATCCCTTTTCTAGCGACAGATAAGTAGTAGCTTACAAAGAATCCCCAGTTGCCGCGCTCTGCTGTTTCAGAAAGTTTTTTGCTTTAACCAAGTCATTATTTAGGTCTGGCATAACATTCTCAGCTGCGGCTATTATGTCCGGTTCTAACAAAAATGTTTGTGACATGTTCACTAGTGATTATTTCACATATGCCGGTCAAATAGTTTTTAATATTTATATTTTTATAAATACAATTTTTGTTTTAATCTTTGAATTTAACCGCAAAAGTCACAATCACCCGTTATACCTAACAATATAAACAATATCCATGACAATTCACTATATGTCAATAAAAAACAACATAAGTTGTCTAAGGGTGTTGTACATATTTTTTTCCTTATAAATTTTTATGTTACTTAAGATATTTAACTAGGTATTTTCACAACCAAGAGATTTATGATTTTTTGGAAGAAAAGGAATGTGCAAATACATGTCACTGTCATGGCTATATCTGTCAATGTCAATGACATGATCTCCTATCAGTGATTTGTTGAATAGTCTCTTTATATTTGATATCGAATTCTATTTATTTTTATTGAAAATTTACCTTTATTTTCCTCTAAATCGATAAAAAATAACCAATAAGCAGTTGATGTAATAATGTTAAAGTAAATGTTCAGGAAAAGATTCGCGTATCGCGATATAACCTTAACAAAAAAAGTTGCAATCAAAACAAACAATGGCACAGCGATTCGACGCAGCGGCTTACAGTTTCCGCAAAAAAATGCCGTACATAAGCAAGGACCTTTTACGATGGTTCCCCGGGCACATGAACAAGGGTCTAAAACAAATGCAACGCAAGTTGAACAGCGTTGACTGCGTGATCGAAGTCCACGATGCAAGGATACCCTTCACAGGTCGCAACCCTATATTCACGAATACTCTAACAGGCTCGAAACCCCATATACTGGTGTTGAACAAGAAGGATTTAACAATAAAATCTTTAATACCGCGAATAAAAGATCAATTAAAAGCGGAACAAAATATAGAAAATGTAATATTTACGAATAGTAAAGACCAGACGTGTCGAGGTCTTAAGAACCTTAAGCCGCTGATGGTGGACTTGATAAAGAGCTCAAATAGGTATAACAGGAGTGAAGAGCTAGATTATAATGTGATGATAATTGGTGTGCCCAATGTAGGGAAATCATCTTTGATAAATATGCTGAGATCCAAGAATATGAGCGTGAAGCACGCGCTGCCGGTCGGCGCGGTGGCCGGTGTCACCAGGAGTCTGATGACCAAGATGAGGATCAATAATGACCCCACTATTTTTATGTTAGACACACCTGGTATGTATAAAAAGTTCATTTCCATGATAATCATACTGGATATCATATATATTCATTATTGCACTTGTAAGTTACATATAGAATAATCTATTTATAAATTTTGTGAGCAAGGGTGGACTTATCTCTGACAAAGATCTCTTTCAGTCAACTCAGTACAGTGAGAAAGCATGTTGTTAGAGGTCAGCTGAAGTGCTACAACTATTAATACATAAACAAATATACAGTTAAATAAAATATTAAAATATATAATAAAATATTACATAAATACATACACTATAAATACATATAATACCTACCTACTTATAAAATAAATGAATATACTACTTACATTAGAAATTTCGTTTAATGATTTTAAAATTTGACAGTTCAATTAGAAAAATCATCATCATATCAGCTGTAAGTTGTCTACCGCAGTTAAGCTTTAGTAATGTTTTATGGGGGATGCTGCTGCCCATCCCTTGACCTTTAAGTTCCCTTAGTTTCATTTTATGAAAAGGGCTGGCCTATTCTATGCCAGGACCATACTAAAACATTGTCGTCATCATATCAGCCTTTAACTGTGTACTGCTGAACATAAGCCTTACCCTAGAGTGGTTAGGGGGGAAAGGGATTGTTAGTAATGCAGACTGAGAATCCCATTGCTAGCAATATACCCAACTAGGTCGACCTCCTCGCGGTTCACCCTGGAGACTATCATGATTAATTCCTGATGAAGTCATCATGATGGGCTAATTGACCTGTTTTCATTCTCATCTATCACCCTTCACTGATGCTCCGCCAGTGTATCCTGTTAGTGCAGGCCCCGCCTGTCATACCGGTTACCATACCATTTTCACCCATAAAAAAAAACCCTACAGTGGTTTTGCCAGTTTTACCATACTGAATATTCGTTACCAATAATTAATATTTTGTTACTTGGGTACCTCTGTCCCATTCGTGTTTTAACCGTGAAGCAGTTGTGTTTGCATGGCTGTGTTTTGGTTTGAAGGGTGGGATATGGCATGAATTTACTGAGTACAGAGGAATAACACCTGAGTCCTCAGGAATGACAACGCATGGGGGGTATCATGGGCGAAACAGTATACTCTATTATGTCCATGGTACTGCTCATGTCTATAGGCGACGGTTAACACTTTCCATCAGGTGGGCCGCCAACTTGTTTGCCATTCTAAATTGTATAAAAAAAATGTGAGCATGTCAAAAGATATTTACCACATTACCACAGCAGACAAAATTCCTCAGATGATTCCTTCAAGGATAACTGTGAGCATTTTTTTTTAATTTATAATTAACATTCTGATATATTCTTATCAAGAAAATATCCTCATTCTTTCAGCCTCCACTTATGTCTCCCCATAATATACCATTAGGATAAACTAGTGCACCATACCATTTTCGTTTTTTTTTTTAACTATGTTTTAACACATATTTGTGATAACAATAAAAGCAATGATTGCAAAAACAAAAATAAATAGTTCATTCCAGGTATCCTTGAGCCTTCAGTGACAGATGTGGAGATGGGACTGAAGTTAGCATTGTGCGCATCCCTGCAGGACCACCTGGTGGGCGAGGAAATCATCGCCGACTATCTGCTGTACTGGCTGAACAAGCATAGTAAATTCAAATATGTTGATTATATGGGACTAGTGGAACCATGCGATGATATTAATAAGGTAATGTGTGAATATTCTATTAATTTTACCAATTTATAATTGTACATCATTAGCTGGATTAAGTTTTTTTTTTTATAATACTTAGAATGGCAAACAAGCTAAAGGCCCACATGATGGAAAGTTGTAACCTTTACTTACTCAAAAAAAAACTATATATAGTACTTACAATATCTATACATATATTGGCTCTATTACAGATATATAGATATTGGGTATTACCTATCTCTAATTTTTAGTGAGTACATTGCTAGCAATGGGATTCTGTCTCCATTACTAACAGTCCCTTCCCCCCATTATTATATTATTGCAACTGTGGTTAACTGTCCACTGCTGAACAGACCTTTTCCATAAGGGGAGTTTTGCCAGTAGTTGCCACGTTTAGCAGGCGTGTTAGGCCGCAGTTATACTTTGGTGATGTTTAAGAGAGACGCTATTGCATGTCCCTTGACTATTAAGTTCCCTTATTATTATTTTTTTTTTATGCAACTTAAAATGGCAAACAAGCTGACGGCCCACCTGATGGAAAATAGTAACCGTCGCCTATAGACATGAGCAGTACCATGGACATAACAGAGTATACTGTTTCGCCCATGATACCCCCATGCGTTGCCATTCCTGAGGACTCAGGTGTTATTCCTCTGTACCCAGTAAACTCACGCCATATCCCACCCTTCAAACAGAAACACAGCCATGCAAACACAACTGCTTCACGGTTGAAACACGAATGGGATAGAGGTACCCAAGCAATCGACTTTTGTACAAAGTCTCCCAAAAGTTGCCTCTTACAATACCCACAGAATTGTAAAGAATAGGGATTGAAATTTTTTTAAATAGGTACTAATCGCCGGCGCCGTGAAAATGAATCGCGTGAGGAGAGTTCGAGACTTCGACGGCGGAATACGTGACGTGCCGGACCTTTTAGAGGTCTCCAGGACGTTCATCAAGGCATTCAGAACGGGCGAGCTGGGCAAGATACTGTTGGACATAGACTTGCTGGATTTCAATAATAAAGAGAAACTAGAAAGAAGTAATTTAGCGTAAGGCAAATAATATTTGTAGAGAATTTACAGATTTATTTTCTTATTCGCGTTATCAGCGTGTTTCAAATTTGTACTACCACACGTGAGTATATAAGGGTGCAGCATAGGCCGTGCCCACCCCAGTCTCCGAGCAAAACTTTCAGCTATTCACACGTCTAAGGGTGTTATGTGCCTTTTTTAAAGGGCTAGTTAACTTAGTTACATTGAGCTATATATATATATATATATATATATATATATATATATATATATATATATATATATATATATATATATATATATATGTCTGTCATGTCATGTCTGTTATCCAATATTTAATATCGAAATTAAGAACACGATCGGAACAAAACTAAGTTTCTAATGTAAGTAATATTCATTTATTTTAACATTTATTATATAAGTAGGTAGGTATTATATGTATTTATAGTGTATGTATTTATGTAATATTTTATTATATATTTTAATATTTTATTTAACTGTATATTTGTTTATGTATTAATAGTTGCAGCACTTCAGCTGCCCGCTAACGAAATGCTTTCTTACTGTATTGGATTGATTGGAAGAGATCTCTGTCAGAGATAAGTCCACCCTTGCTCACAACATTTATAAATGCATTATATTATATGTAACTTACAAGTGCAATAAAGAAATATATATACTTCTTGGTAGTTAGCTTTTTTATTGTACCTGTCTGTTACTGAATTGTCACCTTAATTGAAAATTGTCTTGCTACTAAAAACATCACTCGATTCCTATTATTTATTATTCTCTGATATTTAGCGCAAACTCTGTATGTAAAAAAATTAATATAGATATCGGACCGGTATGGGCGATATCGAAATGGTTGATGACCTTTTTTCTGCGAACAATATCCAAAAAAATCTCAATGATGAAATATCAATGACGTGTAATGTTAAACGCTCTATTAAACATTAAACTACTTTAATAGATTAAAAAACCACTCTTTTAATCTAATTTAATAATAACTAGCTTATCAATGTACACGTGTATGCGTAGTACAGGCAATAATCACGTTCTCTTTAATCACTTAACACGTTGGGCCCGGCGCCGGTCCCTGGGGACCGCCAGCGAACTTTCCGTGTGGCCAACGTCGGTCCGTGGGGACCGGCACTAGAATTTTCCTTGTAGCCAGCGTAATATACACCTAAAAAACGTCCAAAACAGCGCGACAAAGAATTCCTTATCTCATTAGTACTAAAGTAATCTCTTGGCGATAGCATACAACATTGTATCTCTCGCCGGCTGCCGGCTGCCGGCTGAACGGAAAGGACAGCAAATTCGGCGCCGGGCTCAACGTGTTAAGCATCTCGAACGAGACCCTTTCGCGCATCAAATGTGTTCCGATTTGCGCTATACCTAGTACCTCTCGCTACTTAGAAATGTTATGTTTATATTTTTATCTAAAGCGATACAGTTCTCGCCCGTTTGTATTTCATAGAGCATAGTGTATATTTATTGTATGCTCGTTCGAATTTCGGGCGTGCGCCAGTTAACCTCATTTCACAGAAAAACCCTCGCATTAATTGATTATTAATTAAAAAGTCTCCGTAAAATGTATCCACTAAAGAACTGTCTCCCGTCAGTTTTTATCTTTAGTAATGTGTAAATAATATAAATTGTTACGTATTTTGTTAAGAATTAAAAATATTTACATATTATTTGTTTTTTATTTAAGTCCAATATCTTATTAATACCTCGTGCTTAAGCGATAGATAGGATTGGACGATAATCGCCTAAGTCGAATTTGGCTAAGGCGGAGTAGGTATAATTGTTTTCACATTTTTGTGAGCAACTATGCATCCATTCCGCGGCACACGTTCGAATTATGCATTTTTTTATGCATGTTAATGAAATTGTAACCCCGCCCGCGCTATTGGTATGCGTTGGCGGGGCACCAGTAAATGCGAATTCCACAAGATTTAACCACGATGATTTTTAGGATTTTTAGGACGTGAAGGCCGACCTGATTTTTTTAATTGATGATAATGGAATAGTAACCCTGCTCGCGCTAACGGTGTACACTGGCGGGGCACGAGTGAGGAATGACAGGTGAGAATGAAAGGGTAGGAATATAAGTATAGGATGAATACACCTGGAATTCAACATGATGGTTTTCAGGGGGACCATCGGAAGGTCGACCTGACAGGGTATATTGTAATGAGACAATTCCTTAACCCCAAGAATATGCATATTAACAAAAAATTAACAATCTAGAGTTCGTGTGGAGTTCAGCCAGCGGTTGCAATGTAATCGCAAAAAAAGTGTTTATTTACGACATCACATTAGAAACCTCTAAATTTGTCAGTGTTTCTCTATAATATTATGCATGTATTATACATATAAACCTTCCTCTTGAATCACTCTATCTAGTAAAAAATACCGCTTCAAAATCCGTTGGGTAGTTTTAAAGATTTAAGCATACATGTAGACGGACAGACAGCGATAGCCACTTTGCTTTATACTTTGTAGTGATTATAACTTGACCCACAGCCACTTTCTACCATCATACGGCTCGTCATCGACAGGGAGTTCATCCTCATGTCCTACAGCCTCAATGGTCGCGTACTGCGCGGTTTCAGAGATGTTTCCTCCCACGAACACTCAGGTTGTGGAATGAGCTCCCTGCCGAGATTTTCCCAAGAGACTACAGCGTGGGGTTCTTCAAAAGGAGGGTAAAGAGGTTATTTCAGGGTCGGCAATGCACGCGTAATACCTCTGGTATTGCAGGTGTTCATAGACTACGGTAACCACTTACCATCAGGTGGGCCGTATGCTTGTTTGCCACCTCAGTGATATAAAAAAAAAATATGGGCCATATTTACCACCTATGAATTTTTATTTTATTTTATGGAACTAAATCTACTAGCTATCTACAAAACAAAACATAGACTAAGCAAAAAAATATATTTTTTTAGAAATACAACTATTGATCCTTCTGTCAAGATTTGAGGTTCCCTCTCAAATTTATGTCAACAGTTACAAGTCAAATACAATATTAGTAACAAATATTGCTAGTTATGTACAAAAAACAATAATTAAAAACATTTTAATTGATAAATTCACTTCCCTATGGTTGACTGGGAGAGAATGCTTTTAGCATTAAGTCCGCCATGTACACATATTTGTACTAATGAATAAATAAATAAATAATTATGCTCACGTTCGTATGAATCGTAGTGATGAGGTAATAAAGGCACCTCATCAAAGGTACTTGCAATCGTTCATGTAGATGCTTCAATGGTTACTTTACAATTAACATGAATCCATTCCGGTACTTCGAAACACTAGTTTCGTCTATACAAGAGTACAGGTGGCTGTTTGATATAGCAATAGACTGTTACCCCATAGCCATGATGTCGAAGATCCATACAGTTTGAAACACTCATGGTTAAAAGAAAATACCACAAACCAAAAAAATCTGTGTATTTTAAACAGCACAAAAACTGTAAACTATTCCTCTATAGAAGTCACTGACACAGCGACATATTCTACGTCCGCTATTGCCAATAGTAACGACATGGAGGAATCATTCGCCTCATCTACCGATAATACTTTGAGCATGATAAGTACTCCATGGAGCACAGAGTCGTGGACTAGTCTGAGGCTCATCACAGGAAGTGTACAACCCAGGACTTCATCGTGGATTGACACAGATGCTACATTGACCTCCATAACCCTTCAACCGCAAACCTCCACATCATACGGCATCCCAAACTCACCGATTAGAGCAAAAAGTAGCACTACAATTACATTAATAGAATTGGACTCCATTCCTACCATTAGCCATATGCTGCATCCTCCAACGCCCACAAACAGTAAGACCGAGTCGGATACCTTGAACTCATGGTCATTAGAAACGTTTACCAGCACTGGAATAGTTTCAGATTCCAAAAGAGTGAAGCCCAAATATCCTTGGAGTCCAAACACTGTGTATAGTGGTACAGATATTTACCCAAGTACAGTCGACACACTGGAGTCTCGGAAAGTAAGCAGAGAGACCCTCGCCACGATGGATGGTCTAGGCAGTGCGAGAGAGAAGATAGACCTCATGATTCCTATGAATTATGTTACTAGACAGACCAAACAAGGATACAACCCGGCTTTAGAATGGGAGCTTATAAAACGAAAATGTTCCCAATTATTTAAAGACGTAATATAAAAAAAAAAAAACTGTAAAACGATTAAATATTTTATTTTAACAAAAATAGGTAATCTTAATTATCACTAACAACTAGTTCGTCACAGTCGTAGAATACTGACGGATCGTTATATGTAATATTTGTCAGATCCGTCAGTATTCTACGACTATGACGATTTGTTCAATATAAATATAATATTTATTGTTTGGGTGCATTTGCTATGCCAATGATAGATTTGTAATATTTTGGTTCACTGAGGGAGTCGACGAAAAATTGACCCAAGTCCCATTTCGAGATCGATCTCGCCGGAGACTGCTTGGGGTTCACTTCAATAATGACCTCGCGACTGGGCTCATCTGAAAAAAGATTTAATTAGGAATTTACAATAGTAAACCACCTGGCGTAGTGACATGCGACACACAGTCATAGAATACACTGTAGGGCTCATAGTAAGGAGGGGGGGGGGAGGATCATTGATAATGGGTTACCATTTCATTACACATAAAAAAAATATCCTCCATGCTTTGTTATTAACCCTAGTAATAATATGTATTATACATATTATTATGCGAACAGTTACATCCCAGAAAATTAGTGGTAGGTAAATGTTCAAAACTTCACAAAAAAGGTAAATGTGATCTCACAGTGTAAGAAAAATTATTTAGACTTACACTAAAACATGAAGTATGTGTAAATTTATCAACAACTATTTAATCAAATTAGTGTCAAAAGGATTCTTTAAGATACAACTTAAAATTATATTATTAAAAATAAATTTATATTCATATAGGAAAAATAAAATTACCAGCTATGTGTGGAGGAAACACAGCTATCCAATCTGCCGAGCTTGTTTTTAACAGCTCAAACATCCTTTTGTGATCTTCGTTCAGGTCCACAAACATCTTCGGGACTTTCTCAGGTGCGTAAAAAAGAAATGCAGATAAACAAACAGACACTGGTTTGACATTCTTAGCAGCCATTGCTTCTAGAATGTTCTTTAATCCAACTGACAGGTCTGTGGTTGCCTCCAAACGATTCCTCGTACCAAGGATGACAACGACTCCATCAACACCGTCTACTGCATCTTGGACAGTTTGCGGTTTATTCACCACATCACCTTCTAAGATCTCCACTTTTTCTTTGAGGTGTGCAGGTACTTTGGCAGGGTCTCGAACTAACACTCGGACTGAGAGACCTGATTACAAAATTATAGAGTAAGTAAACTAAAGAGAAAATTTCTATAAGACTAATCTGTATGTATATCCTTTTTGATAAAAAAGAAAAAAAACCTAAATCAATTTAGAAATGACAGTTATGAGGTAATAAATATAAAAAAATACAATTAAATTGAGAACCTTCTACTGTTAATTCAAGAAAATATAATTGAAAAATCCTTTTTTGGATATATTCTAGAAATTTTTTTACATCAAAATGTAATATTGACAAAGTCCAGGCTTCATACATTCCTGAATCAATTTCTCTCTATATTAAATTAGATTTAATCTCAGAAAAATAAAGACACCAAGTTCGATTGTGACCAAACCAATTATTTTTTATTCTATATTTTGGTTTTTAAACCAAACTATATTGAAATATCTATGGAACCAATCTGAAATTATATCCTTTCTGTTTGTTAACAAACATTAAAAAAACAACTGAGAACTTGAAATTTTTTAAAATAGAATTCAGTACCACCTTTTTTGAAGTCGGTTAAAAATTGAATTAAAAAGCTAAAAACTATAATTATGTCGAAAACAATTAGATAATTAAATAACTCGCTATTTACCTACCTTTTTTTACAGCTGCTTCCAGAGCGCATAAGCCGGTCATACCGGTAGAACCGAAAATAACAATTTTCTTCATCTCTAAAAAAATTTATTCTAGCATTAAATATATATAACAAAAAATTCCTATTTCATTTGATATGATATGAAAAATATGTACAATGGAAATTGAACACAATTCCGATCAAAACAAAATGTAATTCCAAAAGTTATCATTAGAACTTTGCAACTTTAGATCTACTATTTGTATAATTTAGATACAGTAAATGATTACATTTAAATTTATTTCGAGTGATTTAGTATTTATCCTTACCTTCCCTTGGTAATATACTCTTTGCTTTACCTGTCAGATTAAAATGAACACGTAATACAATTAAAAAAAATAATTAAAAAAGTAAGTAAATAAATTAGAAAATTACTCGAGTTACTTAGAAGCACAGATTAGAATATTAGAGAAACTATAAGTAGTACCACAAAAAAAATGCGTAGACTATAGAAATGCGAACAATACATCGATATTTTAAAACATCGTGCATTCGAATCAATCACGAATTCGAAAAAAAGTTCGAATTTGAACATTTCTCGAGCGAAAATCAAGTTACGTTATTCTGGATATATCGATTCCGAGATTTCTCAAGGGAAGGCCGATCGAGATGCTTCGAGTGGTCGTGAGCACTTGAGACGGATAATCTCGATTCGAACCACAAGAAATATCATAATTATTGTTTGTTTTTTTATGCAAACTCAAGTTAGTTGCCGTTAATTATCATTTATAAATACTTATTATCATTTGCAATAAGACAACCAGAGGGAGATTTTGTACAAAAGTCGATTGCTTGGGTACCTCTGTCCCATGTGTTTGCATGGCTGTGTTTCGGTTTGGAGGGTGGTATATGGCGTGTATTTACAGGGTATAGAGGAATAACACCTGAGTCCTCAGGAATGGCAACGCATGGGGGGTATGATGGGCGAAACAGTATACTCTATTATGTCCATGGTACTGCTCATGTCTATAGGCGACGGTTACCACTTTCCATCAGGTGGGCCGTCAGCTTGTTTGCCAATCTAAGTAGTATAAAAAAAAAGTAACTTATTTAAATTAGTTATATTTTTACGGGAAAAAAAATATTTTTAATTCATTAATTTCAGGTTTTGAAAAACGTTCAGCTATTCAGCAGCGTAGTATTTTACCTATCATAAAAGGGAGAGCTGCAATTGCTCAAGCTCAATCTGGCACGGGTAAAATTGCCACATTTTCAATTTCAATCCTTCGGTCACTGGACACAATATTATGCGAGGCTCAAGCTCTAATATTGTCTCCTACGCGTGAATTAGCCTTACAAATTCAAAAAGTTATTCTTGCATTGGGTAATTTTATGAATGTGCAATGCCATGCTTGCATTGGTGGCACGAATCTTGGTGAAGATATAAGGAAGTTGGATTATGGTCAATTAAGTAATCATCTGCTAGTTTAACTTATCTTGGCAATATCTCATATAATCTATACCTATCAGGCTTACCTGACGCACAGAGGAAAGAGGGAACAGAACAGAGAACATACAACCATTACAAACAAAATTTTACATATTGATATTTATATAGTATTTTAAATTTATACACGTGATAAAGAGACGTGTCCTGCGTACCAGATAAGTTAAGATGCTAGTTTTGGATGAGGCTGACGAAATTCTGAACAAAGGTTTTAAAAAGGAGATCTATGATGTCTACCGGTACTTACCTCCATCAAGTAGTATTAATCTCGGCAACATTACCTCATGAGATACTTGAAATGACCTCACAATTTATGACTGATCCCATCAGAATTTTGGTGAAGCGGTATGTATAGCATTTTATTTCACCCATTCGAGATCAATATACATTGAAGAGATCATTGCTAGACTTTAGCTTAGGTTTCAGATAATAATATTTTTAGATATATTCACATAAAACTTAATGTTAAATAAGAAATAAAATAAATGAGCAGAACCTATTGTGTCAGCGATCTAACTTATTTAGTATTTACTTAATTAGATTAGATTTAATCCTTTTTGTGGTTCTATAATGATTGTAAATTGAATCTCCTATGATGACGGTAACAATGTGTCACTACTTTCTTTTATGATTAGAACGTTATTAGTGGCTAATAAAAAAACAAGGCAATACATGTCAAGCTGCAGGCAGCTTGGCATATTTTAAAATTATAATTACATTTATTATTTCACATATTAGCGAAAATAGTATTTAAATATATATTTAAATGGTGATAAAAACATCGAAAAAGAAATCCATATATAGTTCATAAACTTCGATGATTTTAGCATTAGTGTTTCACTTTTAAAAATATCGATATTCTAAAATCGATGTTTTTATAAACGATGTTGCATCTCTAGACTACTAGTCTACAAATATTTCAGTCTATATGGATTATGATCAAAATTATGACCTATAATTAGCAACGATTTCAAATAATTAGTCGCTAGATTGTTACTGTCGCTATAAGAAATATAGATTCTGTTTTTGGTTGCTTAATTTTTATGCATCCCAAAAAATGTAAACAAAACGCAACGTTTGGGTCGATTTTGAGACGTCATTTTTTTGAATCTATCCCTAACACTAAAATTTCAATTTAATATAAGAATAAATTCTTTATTACCAATTACATCAATACAATTTCCTAATAAACTTAAGTAAATTTTATTATAATTATAGTTTGTAATGGTTCATGAAACAGTAATTGAGCGAAATAAAATATCAGGTTAAAAGATCAGTTTAGAGAAATGGCGTTTCAGAATCGGCCCCATGTAGACCAAATGTCAAATTACTCACTTAATATATTCGATTCGTCATTGAAATAACGAAACGATAATAACCTCAAACATCTTTTCATGTGTTTACTGTTTTTACTTTAAATTTTATTGAATGAATAATATTTATAATTAAACAAATAATGGCTGATACCGAAGAATACTTTCCACGAGGGGGCAAAAAGCCAACAGTTACTTATTTCAAACAAAGCGGAAACGTAAGTATCTAGAGGAAAGAAAATAATACTTTATACTTAAATGTAAACATGTTGATATTTGGGTGTCACAGTTTTTAGGTGCTGCAGAGAAAGGTGAAAGAAAGAAGAAGAAACCGAAAAAGAATACTGATGCTGACGATGGGTATTTATCAGATGAAGCCGCAAAAGATTTTGACCAGTCATACAAAAATTGTTCATCCCGACTCACTTATAAGGTAATACAAAAATATATCTATTTCGCCTTTATGCATATAAACGAATAGTTTCATTAAATATATAGATTAAATGATTGAGATTAGATTACTAGATTGAGCGTCTGTTAACGGAACTTTTATTATTTACACTTAACCTCTTAATCTGCCTATTTATAGTAGAGTCATGGTTAAAATACCCATCTCAGCCCAACCAAGTAGTTTAGAAGCCTCCTGATTAGAGTTGAGACATCAAACATTTTTTTTATGCAACTTAGAATGGCAAACAAGCTGACTGTTCATCCGATGTAAAATGGTACCCGTCGCCTATAGACATGAGCAGTTCCATGGACATAACAGAGTATACTGTTTCGCTCATGATACCCCCCATGCATTACCATTCCTGAGGATTTAGACCCACTCTTCAAACCTAAACACAGTAAACACACTAAAAACACACACCAGTAAGAGATGATAGGTGAGAATGAAAGCAAGTCAGTTAGCCCTAAGTAATGAATTCAACAAGAATTAACCACAGTGGTTTCGGGAGGAAAGGGATTGTCAGTAATGGAGACTAAGATTCCCATTGCTAGCAATATACCCAAAAAGGTCAACCTCCTCGTGGTTCCCCCTGGAAACTCCTGAATTGTTATGGTTAACTCCTGAAGAACAGTGTATCCCGTTAGCGCAGGCGGGGTTGCCATTCCATTTTCATCCATCAAAAAAAAACCACAATGGTTTTTAACATACCCCATATTACTAGCAATAGGGCTATTAGGCACCATTATTAACAGTTCTTTCTCCCCCCTCCCCTCCAAGGTATACTGCAACAATAAGCATCCCTTCCCCTTCTTTAATTGGATCTCTTCTTTCTCTTGCAGACTATTAAGCAGGGTGTGCTTATATTGGGCCGAGTGTCTCAAGTCCATGAGACCAAAGTAACAGTGGCACTGCCTGGCAAGATGACAGGCACGGTGATGGCCTGTCATATTAGTGAACCATACAATAAGCAGCTTGAAGCATATGTCAACGACCAGGTAATATATCTGTGATATGTTTAAATATGATTTATATAAATAAAATAATTTATAAATAATAAATTGATTTAATGCTTTCATTTGTTATGGATTTCATTTGAAAAATATAAAAAACTTGGTTACTAAGTCTTATTGTCAATAAAATTTGGCTTTTAACTTTACGACTGGCCATCTGCCTGACGTCAACCCTCTTTGGGAATTTTCACATTTATTAAATTAATAAAATTAAAATTTTATATAAATATTACAGATAGACAAAATTAGAGAACTTGTAGAGATGTTTCGACCTGGCCAGTATGTGATGTTGAAGGTGTTAGAGACAGAGAAGCTGATGCTGTCCATGATGCCACAGCACATCAACAGTGGACGGTCACACTCAGACCTTAGCAAAGGTAAAACAAAGAAAAACATTATTTGTTTTATTTTTCTATTTATTTTTACTATAAAAACCAAAAAAGTATAGCAAAAACCATATAAGTTTGTCTGGGATGTCGTCATCATTATCAGCTGTTAATTTTCCACTGCTGAACATAAATCTCAGACATAAAGGGAGTTTTGTTAGTTGATTTGACACGCTTGGCATATTGTCAAGTTAGGATCTGTTCATCCTTGACCTTTAAGCTTCCTTAGTTGCCTCTTATGGCACCCATGGGAAAAGAAGGATTCCATATATTCTACTTACTACAATATATATATATATATATCATAATATAGGTTGATATCCTAGCCATGAAAAGAAAATTTGGCAAAGTTTACACTCGTATTTTTTTTCTTTACAAAATCTTAATTTATGATGACAGGGGACCTTTTGCAAGCTGCTGTCGTATCAGTGGAAGATCATGGTTACGTGATGGACCTGGGCATCCCCAATACCAGGCCTTTTCTGCCCAAAAAGCATATCAACCCTGAAGTGCAACTTGGTAAGTTATTTTCTCTTACTAACAGTAGAGAGAGAGTAAGAGACGTCTTACCAGCTTTCAGTGACAATTATCATCTATTTAATTTGGTTTATAGTCATAAATTCATGAAGAGTTTATCAAGATGGTTTCCAGGGGGAACCGCGTGAAGGTCGACCTGATAGGATATATTGTTAGCAATGAGGCTGTTAGATCCCCAACTAACAATCTCTTGCCCCTCAGGTGGGAGGACTTGTTAGTAATGGGGAATAAAGCTTCATCGGTCTCAATATGCCATTAATTGTTATTCATTAAAAAAAAACCTCTTGCTATTAGGAGAACCGTTAGCTTGTTTGTAGAAAGAACTGGCAAAAAAACTAGACAGCTTATGTTTAAAATAAATCAAAGCAACTCAGCACAAAATCCTGAACCCGTTACTGTATTGTATTTGCAAGGTGAATGAATGAATGAACTTTATTTGCTCGAATATAGGTTAACACATTAAAAATTTTTTAATGTTAAAGTAAAGACTCTGCATTCAACCGTATGGCGAGCAAGTATTTTATTTGGAATTTGTTTCAAAAATTTTGCATTAAAATAGTCTTCAAGTTAATAAAAACATCCCTCAATAAGCCAATTGTAAAGTTTTTTATGTGTATATTAGGTGTTTTCCAAACTATCAATTTAATCTTGGTCTTATACAGATGTAGGCGTACTGGCGTGGTGCTGCATCAAGTCGGTGACGATATCGCCCGATAACAGTATAGTGAAGCTGAGCAATGAGTTGTCAGCGATACAGCGCTGCACGCCGCGGCCGCGCGCCGCGCTGCAACTGCTGCCCGCAACGCCGCTCGACTTCACCGTCCAGAAGGTACATATGATGCCTAATAATCATTGTCCAAAAGACTGATTGCTTATTATCAAAGACTACGTGATCATTACTTAAATAATCTTGCGCTATCTGCCCTTTTCTATCTGTTCTCCTTTAACCAAAGGTTGTCTGTAAGAGATTGCCCTAGCGATAAGACCGCCTTTTGTACCTTTATGTATATATTTCAATCTGTATTTATGTTACTGTATTTCACTTGAATTATTCACTTGATTAAAAGGCAGGGTCATAAAATTTCTACTAATAGTGCTTTATATTATTCTCAATTTCGTGTATAATATAGTATATATCATATATGCTATATTATATTATTTGTCTCTTTTCCTTAACCCTAAGCAGGATCGCCTCTCTGCTAATTCGATCCCTCCAGCTAACTTTCTCCATCCTTCTCCAGCACCACATTTCAAAGGCTCTAAGTTTATCCATTTCCTTCTGAGTTAATGTCCACGTCTCACATCCATACAAACCTAACCAGTGATATAGATATAAAAAATAACACCTAGGTCAGTGAATTAATTCCAATAAATAAAAAAAACATATTATTTGTAGCCCTTAGACAACGGCATAGAAGGCCACGTGCTGGAGGACACGGTCGCGTACATACAGCGCGACCAAGTCGACAAAGTTAAAGGGAAGAAACCGGCACTTGGACAGAAGGTACGTATATCTCGACAACTCCTACAGTCTACACAACAAATTCTGTCACATCTTCACTCGAAAATTCTGTGTTATTTATCTTCTAAGCTTTTTACGACATACATTTCATATAAGGGTTCGGAAGGTTGTTATCTGTTGAGAAGAGCCCGCGAGAAACTCAACAGTTACTCTTTTAAATCTCTGTTAACATTGTGTGTATTTATTTAAACGTACTATGTCTAAAATTACATAGTCGTTAAAAGCCCATGCATGATCCAATAACGCCATGCACATTTGTCAATCAAGTAATCGTTTAGTGTGTAATAGGCTTTGTTCAATAAATGATTTTTTAATAATTTTTAACATTAAGTCTAGAAGGCATAATTCTACTCTCTTTATCTTCAAAAGGGGGGTAAAGAGGTTTCTTCAAGGTCGACAACGCGCGCGTAATACCTCTGGTATTGCAGACGTTCATAGGCTACGGTAACCGCTTACCATCAGGTGGACCGTATGCTTGTTTGCCACCTCAGTGGTATAAAAAAAAATCCCACTAGTGTCATCGAATTATAGACAAAATTCGTTTCTTTGACGAGCTAGCAACAACTTTAATACTATTTCTAAGTCTTCTTCTTTCTAAATCTATTTTCGAAAAATATAATATCAGTGAGTGACCAACTGAGTAGGCAATTGTTGTATTCATAGTTAGTTTGAACAACTATTGTATGGACAAGAAGGACATATTTTAATCAAATACTTGTAATTAATTTTTACTTTGTATTTTATTCATTTTTTTTTTGTTTTCAATTCTCTTGTTTGTTCGTATTTTTTTTTTTTGTTAACTCCTATTTTAGTTGCTCTGTGTACAGCGCCTTGTATCTATATTGTTACTACTTGTAGCTTATTTTGTGATCCTAAACTGTATCTGTTTGCTCTAGGTTAGCCCTGATTTTCCTGTGAATAAATAAATAAATAACAGTTTTAAACTTATTAAAAGGTAGATCCAAAATATCCTTCGGTATTTTATTACAACACTTAATGCCAATTACCATAAAAAACCTATTAACCATTTTCTAAACAGCGTATTTAAATTTCACACTCGAGATATACATAATATATATATATATATATATATATATATATATATATATATATATATATATATATCTCGCAAAATTCTTTTATATTATATTATAATTGCTTTCTAGGTATATTAAATTATATATATATATATATATATATATATATATATATATATATATATATATATATAATTAAACACATTTTGCTCTGTCCATCGTATCTCTCGTCTCTCATCTTTTGCTAAGTAAAAATAATATATTGCAGATCCGCGCCCGCGTTCTCTACGTGATGCCTATACGCAAGACTCCTTTCCTCACCATGAAGGACATCTTCGCGACCACGTACCCCAACCTGGAGGAGGAGCAGATACTGAAAGAGGGGGAGATTGTGGAGGAAGCACAGGTGTGTATAATTTACATTGTGATATGTCAGTAATTACAGTCTTACTGAATATAATAAAATAAGGTACATAAAATAGTTAAATACGCCTGTATGGGTCGATATATGAGTCCATCTTGTAAAAAGTGATACATAAGTGTTGCCTACTAGCCGACAGTTAAAATAAAGGCAAAGTATACCTCTACTTTAGTAGAAAGTTATATGAAATAAATTAGATTCTAATATATTAATACCAGAGGGAGACTTTGTACAAAAGTCGATTGCTTGGGTACCTTAGTCCCATTCGTGTTTCTACCGTGAAGCAGTTGTCTGTATGGCTGTGTTTGAAGGGTGGGATATGGCGTGAATTTACAGGGTACAGAGGAATAACTCCTGAGTCCTCAGGAATGGCAACGCATGGGGGGTATCATGGACGAAACAGTATACTTTGTTATGTCCATGGTACTTGCTCATGTCTATAGGCGACGGTTACCACTTTCCATCAGGTGGGCCGTCAGCTTGTTTGCCATTCTAAGTTGAATAAAAAAAATACTTATTCTACATTTTGTGTTTAAATCGTACAGGTAATCAAGATAATGGGTCGTTCGGTCCACTTCAAGCTGGGCCGCGGCTGCGTCGGTGCTATGAGCCTTAAGAGCATCGACGTGGACGAGAACCTATCCGACGAGGACGTCGTCGCCAAGTCGTATCCTGTAGGTTTGTACATTTTGAATTTCTTGTAAATTATTATGAAAAAAAAAGTTCATCTTATAAACTCATTACAACAATAGTAGCTAATCATCAATTTTTATATTTTATTTATTTATATAAATAGACGGATAAACACTATATTTGAGCCATTTATGACACACGTAAATTAACAAATGAGTTTATACAAGCAGATTATTTACACTTTTGTTAAATATAAAACAAAAGATAAAGTATGGAATGTATGTATATATATATATATATATATGTATATATATATATATATATATATATATATAAGCCATTTTACTCCGAATTCTCTATAACCCTAGTAAGACATTTTCCCTTTATATATACCTTTGGATGGAGAGGAGTAGTTATATTGTTCATTTATATATATATATATGTCCTCAATGCAGGCAGCAGCCACAAAGTGAGGGTGGTGTCGTACAACCTGTGCGACTATTCGTACACAGTGAGCGACCAGCGGTCGCTGCTCAGCGAGAAGTACTTCTCGCTGCAGCAGCTGTCCGTGGGCGAGCTGGTGCGCGGCTCGGTGGCGCGCGTCGCCGACGACCACGTGCTGCTCAGCGTCGGCAGGCTCACAGGTGGCCACTGTGCATTCTATATCTTATACTACTGTATCAGCATTTTTTTTATGGATGATTATGGTATGATAGTATGGTAACCCCGGCTGCGCTAACAGTATATGCTGGCGGAGCACCAGTGAGAAATGATAGGAGAGGATAAAAAGGCAGGTCAGTTAGCCCACCGTGATGAATATACCAGGAATTCAGCACAATAGTTTCCAGGGGGGACCACGTGGAGGTCGACCTGACAAGGTATATTGCTAGCATTGAGACTGGTAGTCCACATTACTAATAGTTCACCCCCCCTCCCCTCACTACTGTAGTAGCAAACACCGTTGGGGAAAAAAGGTTTTGAGTGGCGACCCCGTACAAGCACACGTTAAGTAGGACGACCTCCCTACTAGAAAGAGTGACGACCTAAAATGCGTTACAGGTCTGTGGATGCAGGGGGCTCAAGACCGTTCCTTATGGCAGTCTATGGGGGAACCCTATGTAAAGTAATGGATAGATAAAAGCTGAAATGGTTATGATAACGATAGTAGCAAATAAACATACCGTTTGATGGTAAATATGTATATGGTAAATCTCTTATAAATATGTACAGCACTACATCACAGAACACATTATGATGCCTATAATCCCCCCCCATCCCCACCACGCATTTAAGATGAATACTATACCCAAGAATTGAAGATGTATTTGCCTCTATACTTTATAATTTTCCATAAAAAACAACCAAGCAAGCACAGTATTAGCATGCTTTTGAACTAGTAAACACCACAATTAGAGCATGCTAACAACTTCGATGTAACTCTGTATGGATATCTAACTATATATATATACATATATCAACAGGTTATGTACCGTGCACGCACTTGTCAGACGCCGGAATGTTCATCGACCCCAAGAAGGCCAGCACCTCGAAATTGCCCAAAAAGAAATTTAAGGTAATTACTACATTCAAGTGCCTTGTGGTCCCCTATCACTAACAACCTCTTCCCCCTCCCCCTCTCAGCGGTCACCTTGCCTGCGTTACCCGTATATGCTATGGGTATTCCAGTGAAGAACGATAGGTGGAGATAAAATCAACTCACAGTCTATTGCGTCAAATTCTTTAGGACTCGACAGTGATAGTTTTCAAGGCAACCTGATAGGATTTATTACTGGCAATGCCCTGCCCCCCCCCCCCTCTCACACCTTCCAGGACATTTAAGTTCTGACTATCTTGTATACAATACAACAGGAAGGGCAAGAACTAAACGCGCGAGTGCTGTTATTAGATCTGGAACAGCGCAAGCTGCTGCTGACCCTGAAGCCCTCGCTGCTGGCTCCGGACCTCTCGGTATTGAAGAGTTACGAAGAAGCGGAAGTTGGGAAGACGTATACAGGCTGTATCAGGGTAAGGAGATTAGTACTGCATACTTCATTCGTCATCGCTCACGCGTCATTTTCATTTTTTCCGCGAACAAAGCCACTGTAAATGGCTAGTTGTATATCATTTTATTTCTACACTCTCATATATTCATGGACATCATCATATTGTATAGAATAGTTTCTTTTTCTATACAACTTGGAATAGCAAACAAGCTGACAGACCACCTGATGGAAAGTGGTAACCGTCGTCTATAGACATGAGTTGTACCATGTACATAACAGAGTATACTGTTTCGCCCATGATACCCCCCATGCGTTGCCATTCCTGAGGACTCAGGTGTTATTCCTCTGTACCCAGTAAATTCACGCCATATCCCACCCTTCAAACCGAAACACAGCCATGCAAACACAACTATAATGTAGTTATCTGTTGAGAAGAACCGACGAGAAACTCAGCAGTTGCTCTTTTCAAATTGCTTCATACAATATGATTTTTGCATGAGTACTGTGACTATAATTGGCTGCACAAGACTAAGGGTCCCGAATGGTCCCCAAAACCATTCGAGCTTTTTCGACCAAATTACACACAAGTTAAACTGCCAGTTATAAAATTAAAATATAATGTGTGAGATTTTTAACAATATTATGTTTTAAAATTGTACAAAACACATCTGCTTGAGTAACTCTGTGTTACTCTGTTTGTTCTGCCATGAAGCAGTTGCTATAAAGAGGAAGAAAAAGAGGTTTAAGGAGTAAAATATGTCAGTGAAGTCACAAGGTATGGAGGCATAACATACCTCAGGAATAACAACGCATGTTGAGTACCATTCGGTCACAGAGTATTTTTTGATGTCCATACTATTCATGTCTATAGGCCACGATTAAAACTTCAATGCAGGTGGTCCTTTCGCTTGTTTATCATTCTAAATTGCAAAAAAAAAAAAACACATGCATTCCCATTGTATTAGGTTTACTGGAAGAGATCTCTTTCAGAGATAAGTCCACCCTTGCTCACGATATTTATAAATGTATTATCTATATAATTTACAAGTGCAATAAAAAACACTTCGTTATTTAATACTGGTTATAAAACACTGATGGAAAAAGATTGACATTGATTACTGATCTTGAAACCTGTTTACAGGTCATCCGCGACTACATACTGGTGACGTTTTTCAACAACGTGACAGCCCTAGTGCCGCGCCACTACGTCACGAAGGAGCCCATCGACAACCTCGCGGACGCGTTCCACGTGGGACAGATCGTGAGTACTTTTTTTTAATGGATGATAATGGAATGGTAACCCCACCCGCGCTATCGGTATACACCAGCGGGGCACCAGTGATGGATGATAGGTGAGGATGAAGCAGATCAGTTAGCCCATCGTGACGAATTCAACAAGAATTGTTCACGATGGTTTCCAGGGGGAACCACGTGGAGGTCGACCTAATAAGGCATATTGCTAGTAATGGAGCTGTACGTACGTGAGTACTGTATATGTATATCTTCACGCCAGTTCATTTGTAAAAATACTAACGATATCCCGCAGGTTCGCCCGCATGAATAAATACATAAAATGTCCTATATGCTAAGATAGATTAACTACCCGTGTACGAAATTTCATCAGTCCATCCATTCTTGCAAACTTGCGTCTTTTTTATATTAATTAGATTAATTCTATATCATTATCATATCACTCTCTAACTGTCCACTGCTGAACATAAGCTTCCCCCTTGGGAGGGTTTTGTCAGTAGTTGCTACACTTGGCAGGCGTATTGGCAACCGCAGTTAGGCTTTGGAGATTTTTTAAGAGAGACGCTGTTGCCTATCCCTCGCCCTCCCTTAGTCACCTCTTACGACCACGGGAAAGGATGGGGTGGCCTATTCTATACCGGGATCACACGGGACTAATTCGAATAATTAATTCTACATAGTGATTATAAAATACATCTTGCAGGTGAAATGTACAATCATCAGAGTCTCGGCTGAGGATAAGAAAATGACTGGGAGCTTTGTCACCGCGCCATTCACACCTGGAGTAAGTAATGAAATTTTTACAGGTTGTAAGTGATAATGATAAGTAAATAATGGAAGCTTATATGTGACTATTTTAACAGCAAGCGCGTGAGAAAAAGGAAAAACGAAAAATACAGGAGGAGGAAGACGTCACAGATGAAGTACCCAACAAAAAAAGAAAATCCACAGATGATCAGATAGAACTAGCAGAAGTAAAGAAAAAGAAGAAGAAACCTGAACAGAATGCGAAGGAAGTTGTCAAAGAGCAGAAACAAAAGAAGAAAGATAAAGGAAAAGAGTCCGGAAACGAATCGGCCAGTGATCATATAGAAACAGATGTAAACGATGAAGATGGCAACGATACGGAAACGAACGCAAACTATGAATTGGAAGTGACGTTCAACAATCAAGAACATGAACTAATGGACCTATCTAATTGTAATGATGAGAAGAAATGTAAGAAACGCACAGTGTCTCTGTTAAAGCTAATAAAGGCAAGAGACAAGAGGATACAAAGAATAGAAGAGAAAATAGCAAATATAGAGAAAAAGGGGTTGAATGCTAAAAATAAAGTGTACCATACAGCTATGCACGCGGATATATTACTTGTGCAAGAACGGAAAAATAAATTGCTAGAATCTTTGAAATGTGTACAGGAAAGATTAAAAGAATTTAAAAAGAATGATGCAGTTGAACAAAATAAAAAGGTAGATGGAAAGAAGGCGGACAATAAAACTAATTCGGACGACAACAAAGAAAAGAAGAAACGGAAAAAGAAGAAAGAAGTAAAAGAAGATAAGAAACAAAAGTACACAGAGTTGCAAGTGGTGGGGAATTTAGAGCCGGTTTTAGAATCGCCAAGCGCTAAGGATTTTTGGTCGACACCTACCACAAATGTGACTAATGAGGTTCAAGAAGATGAAGACCTGAGCAGTAGCGATGACGAGGTAAGTGTAAGAAGAAAGAATTGATAATTTTATCTCGTTATACCAACTGTAGTTGAAATTTTGCTCCAAAGTCATAATAGATAGATAGATACTCTTTATTGTTTCCTCCAAAAGATTAGTAAACTTATTATAAATATAAACAATTACAAGAAATAATCACAATGAGAAAACAATGGGCGACCTTATCGCTAGGAGCGATCTCTTGCAGGCAACCTTTGGATGGAGAGGAGTAATTATATTGTTCTTTTATTTATATATGTTATATTATATATCTTTCATTACATACATACATATCTGTCACGCGTGTCTCCCATTAGGGTAGGCAGAAACAATGGACTGCCAAATGCTTCGATTCAAACAAACCTTATTCGCTTCTTCCACATTCATCAATCTTTTCATACACGCTCGCCGGTTACGGGAACTTATAATTTGGCCCTTCTTCAGCACGTCGTCTATTTGGTCAACATACGTCCTTCTAGAGCGACCCCTACCAGCATCTCCGGTCATTCTTGTTCAATAAATCTCTTTCTTAAGTCTTCTTTTATCCATCCTCTCCAAATGGCCAAATCAATGCGAAATTCCCTTTTCGGATCTTGTCACTACATCGTCTTTCAGTCCACACTTCTCTCTAATCACACTGTTTCTTACTCTATCTTTTAATGTAATACCACACATACTTCTCAGAGCTCTCATCTCTACAGCATTTATCTAACTTTCATGCATCTTCTGCCATGCCCACGATTCGCTCCCATACATGAGTGTTGGTGTCAGTACTCCCCGAAATTATGGCAGGGCGAGCTTTGCTCGATACGTTTTGGCAAGCCATCATTGAGAGCAATGCGCCGTCAACACTGTTTCCTGCTTTCACTCTCCTTTCAGTATCTCACACTTTCCATTCCTCGTAAACAAGGAACCTAAATGTGGAAACTCACTTTTTCCACTCTTTAATTTTCTATCTTTATCTAACTTGTCGTTAAACTTTCATTCCTCTCAAGAATCATTACTTATTTTCATATCTTTTCTTGCATACGCTTAATCCATTAGTTGTAATTCATGCTCTGACGATGCGAGGAAAACTTGTTTGACGGCGTATTTAAAGGAGTCTTGTATAGTGACTCATTCATTTGGAATCCACAATCAGATTCTTTCAATTCGGTCAAGCAATTGTCCATAAGTACATGGAGACTGAGAATCCCATTGCTAGCAATATACCCAACCAGGTCGACCTCCTTGCGGTTCTCCCTGGAAGCTATCATGGTTAATTCCTGATGAATTCATCATGATGGGCTAACTGGCCTGTTTTCATTCTCATCTATCATCCTTTACTGGTGCTCCGCCAGCGTATCCCGTTAGCACAGGCGGGGTTACAATACCATTTTCACCCATCAAAAAAAAATACCACGTGGAATGGTAAGGATGTTTGTTTATCAGTAATAATTTATTTGGTGCAGCAAAAAGAACAGCCCAAGAAGAAACGCAAGAAGCTGACAGTGGCGGAGAAGCTGGCGAAGGTGCGCGAGGAGGAGGAACGCGTCCGCGAGATGGAGCGGCGAGCGATCGAAAGCGAGGCGCAGCCGCGCTCCAGCGACCAGTTCGAGCGAGCGCTGCTGGCCAGCCCCGACTGCAGCCAGCTCTGGATCGCTTACATGGCCTTCCATCTACAGGTAGTGGCCGGCCCAGCACCACGGGTCCCGGACAGCTCACGGCGAACGCTAAGCATTACCGTTTTTAATAATAACTAGCGATCTGAGGGCCTACCATGAAATGTTTTCCGAAATTTCGGAGCCGAACGAAACACAAATTTGACATTAAAATTATATAATACATATCGTTTAAAAATATTAAAATATTATTAGTTTGGACTTTTATGATAGGATTTATGACGAACGAAATGTAAAACTCCATTTAATGGGCCATATTAGGTATGAACGAAAACACGAAATTGAGTCCGAAACTTCGGAATTTCATTTCACGGTAGGTTCCCTGACCTGACTTCGCACGAGTAAATAGAATTTTCAAAGATCAATACATATAACAGAAAAAGTTTCAGCTAATTCAATTTATATAGTACAATAATTAAAAAATATAATGTTTCCACCATACATTAGTCAATTATAAATTCCCAATTTAATTAGATAATACGCAAAAAAAATCTATGGAGATACTTATTCTAAAAGTATTTAAGAATTATTAAAATATGATTTTCATCTTTAAAATTAAATATTTTTTTTATGCAACTTAGAATGGCAAACAAGCTGACGGCCCACCTGATTGAAAGTGGTAACCGTCGTCTATAGACATGAGCAGTACCATGCACATAACAGAGTATACTGTTTCGCCCATGATACCCCCCATGCGTTGCCATTCCTGAGAACTCAGGTGGTATTCCTCTGTACCCTGTAAATTCACGCCATATCCCACCCTTCAAACCGAAACACAGCCATGCAAACACAACTGCTTCACAGTAGAGTCACGAATGACACAGAGGTGTCCAAGCAAACGACTTTTGTACAAAGACTCCCTCTGGTAAATTTCAATGTTTTAATATCATGTTGGTAGGCAACAGAAATTGAGAAGGCACGCGCCGTCGGCCGCAAGGCGCTGTCGACGATCTCGTTCCGGGAGGAGCGCGAGAAGCTCAACGTGTGGATCGCTATGCTCAACTTGGAGCACAGGTTCGGCACCCAGGTAATAAACAGGTGTTTCGCTCTTTTAAGGGCAAAGCAATAAACTGAGTTGTGACCATTTTGTGTTACTATGGCACACGCATGAAGGAAGGGAAAGAAAGGCGATTGTTAGTTTATATATTTTGTTTTTTTTTTTGTTTTGTTGCTTTTTTATTTTCATTCTTTTATCTTTTTTTTTTATACAACTTAAAATGGCAAACAAGCTGACAGCCCACCTGATGGAAAGTGGTAACGGTCGCCTATAGACATGAGCAGTATCATGGACATAACAGAGTATACTGTTTCGTCCATGATACTCCCCACGCGTTGCCATTCTGAGGACTCAGGTGTTATTCCTCTGTACCCAGTAAATTCACGCCATATCCCACCCTTTAAACTGAAACACAGTCATGCAAACACAACTGCTTCACGGTTGAAACACGAATGGGACAGAGGTACCCAAGCAATCGACTTTTATACAGAGTCTCACTGGTGCCCCACCGGTGTATACTGATATCGCGGGTGGGGTTGCCATTCCATTATCACCCATTAAAAAAACGGACGGTATGTGAGGATGAAACAGGCCAGTTAACCCATCGTGATAAATTCAACAAGAATTGTTCACGATAGTTTCCAGGGGGAACCACGTGGAGGTCAACCTAATAGAGCACATTGCTAGCAATGGGGCTGGCAAACTGCATTGCTAACAATCCCTTTCCCCCCGATCGCCAGTAGTTGTCTACTATTGAACACAAACCTCTCCCTTAAGGAAGTAACTGCAATTAGGCTTTGGCGATGTTTTAAGACGACCCATCACTCGACCATTAATTTCCTTTAGTTACCTCTTACGTCACCCACGGGAAAGGAACAGGTGGCCCATTCTATGCTGAAGCCACCCGGCAATTTTTTAGCACAGGAAAATAATATTTTAGTATATAGAATAGAATAAATATTTATTGTGAGTCATGTTTGTACATTAAAATTTTTCGTAAGATGTTATTAACGTCTTAAAGGGAAACGCAGCCTACCCATACATCGGGCGTAATAATAATAAGTCAATAAAGTTGAAAATAGAATGTAGCGCGTCAATCAACAGTCACAAAGCAACGAATTCATTCATATTGTAAAAAGCATTTGCAAGTAGCCATTTTTTTAATAATAATTTGAATTTAGTATTAGGCACTTCTTTTAGATTATTTGGCAAATGATTATATATATGTATATACATTCTTCACAGGAATCCCAACAAAAAACTTTAGAAGATGCACTCCAAATGAACGAGCCGTTCACTGTACACTCCAAGCTTTTAGACATATACGTGGAAACCAGCAAGCAGCAGGAGCTGGTCTCGTTGGTGGACCTGATGATGAGGAAGTACAAACGGCAGCCGGACGCGTACACACAGGCCGGCGGCGCCTGCTTCAAACTCGGCCTGGTGGATAAGGCCAGACAAGTGATGCAGAAAGCAATCGGTGTACTGGAAAAGAAGGAGCGTGAGTAATCTTGTTTGAGAGTTTTTTTTTTTTTATGTACATGATTTTAGTACAATAAACAAGGTTTGACAGTAGTGTATGTTATAAAAACTATATATATATATATATATATATATATATATATATATATATATATATATATATATATATATATATATATATATATATATATATATTTTATTTATTTATTTAAAGGAACACCAACAATATACAATAATACAATACGATATTAATGCACACGTCTTTTTTTTTTGTTACCACTTAACTTCGTCAGTTCTAAACCGATTTGTATAATTCTTTTTTTTTATCTGAAATGTACTTACAAATAAATCCCATAGAAATTTTATCAAAATATGTTTAGTAGCTTAGTTTTTAGACCAAAACAACTTCTTTTGTCACAATTCAAGTTGGTTTTTTTTTTTTGTAGAACGCAATTTTATTTGAAATAATATTATATGAAATAATTTATTAATACTCAGAATGGATTAAGTATACATTATTATTATTAATAATTGAAATAAATTTAATAATACTATTAAAAATTTAATTTTATTGAACTTGTTATTACATACATACATACATACATATCTGTCACGCCTGTCTCCCATTAGGGTAGGCAGAAACAATGGAACGCCAAATGCTTCGATTCAAACAGACCTCTTTCGCTTCTTCCACATTCATCAATCTTTTCATACACGCTCGCCGGTTACGGGTACTTTTGATTTGGCCCTTCTTCAGCACGTCGCCTATTTGGTCGACATACGTCCGTCTAGGGCGGCCCCTACCGACATATCCATGTTGTGTTGTACATATTTCTTGTTATTACTATATAAAAATAACAGAATTTTCATCGTGCCTCCGAACTGTTTATAACTGCCTCTCTCCATCAAAAGGTTGCTTGGAAGAGATCGCTCTTAGCGATAAGGTCGCCCGTTGTTTTCTCATTGTGATCATTTCTTGTAATTATTTATATCTATAATAAGTTTACTATTGTAATCTTTTGGAGGAAACAATAAAGAGTATCTATCTATCTATTTATCTAATAATTGTCGCAGTTTACCTGAAAAGTACCCATAGACGTAATACTAGCATTTATTTACTCATAGCTTTTTTAAATTATGTATTTTTGTATATATATGTATATTTTTTTTATGTTTGCAGACGTATCTGTGCTGGTGCAGTTCGCGTTGCTGGAACGTTCGTCGGGCAGCCGCGAGCGCGCCGAGGCGCTGTTCGAGCAGGTGCTGGCTGTGTACCCGCAGCGGGTCGACGTCGTCTCGGCGTACGTCGACATGCTGCTCAAAGGCGGCGACGTCGACCAAGCGAGGTGAGTGATGTTTTTAAATAGTTTTTTTTTTTTATTATTGTTTTTTCAGCCGTTAACTGTTCATTACTAAGCACAGGTCTTCCTCACAATGTATGCAAGGAGCTTGATATTTTCCAACAATCCTTGCGACGTTACATTAAGGATGCTAATTTGTTACTTTAGATTTATAGCCGTCATTCTTTTAATGTATATAATATCGAATGTTACGCAGAGCAGTTATTGGAGTACAAATTTGATGCTGTTGCCTTGCTATAAATAGATTTTTGCCAATAGTTGCAACATTTGATTTTTTTTTTGTATCCAATTCGGTGGAGTTGTTGCTTGATATGGGGACAAACAAAAAGACAGGTTTAAGTTTAAGTAAAAATTATGGCAACTATTTATTGGTTTTAAACCCTTGTTATTATTTTTCTTAAATATCCCCTATATACGGCCATCATCTAGTTCCAATTTTATTATATTAGTAAGATGTAAATTAATATAAAAAAAATTGTTTTTTTTTTTAATTCTTGTTTCTATATTTGGGTACTACGTAAAACACAGGTCTTTTAGACAAGAGACAAACGGATTCCTTGATGAAATCATTAACGTTAGCGAGACTATGGGACAGAATGAGATAGTGACATCCGATGTCTCGTTCCAACTTATGGACGTGCCTGCGGTAATGCTAGCCTCGATGGATTCGCTTCACATTTGTCTAGGGGGCTGGTCCTTTTTATATTAAATTTATAGTTATTTTATCCAATACCAGAGGGAGACTGTACAAAAGTCAATTGCTTGGGTATCTCTGTTCCATTCGTGTTTCTACCATGAAGCAGTTGTGTTTGCATGGCTGTGTTTCGGTTTGAAGGGTGGCATATGGCGTGAATTTACAAGGTACAGAGGAATAACATCTGAGTCCTCAGTAATGGCAACGCATGGGGGGTGTCATGGGCGAAACAGTATGTGTGTGTATTGTTATGTCCATGGTAGTACTGCTCATGTCTCTAGGCGACGGTTACCACTTTCCACCAGGTGGGCCGTCAGCTTGTTTGCCAGTCTAAGTCGTATAATAAAAAAAATCTAATTTTTTTTCTTATTTAAAGTATGTATTGTATTTCTTATCAGGCAAGTCATGGACCGGATGACGTCACAGAAAATACCAGCGAGGAAAATGAAAACCCTTTATAAAAAATGGATCGAAGTTGAAGAGAAGATAGGAGATCAAGAACAAATAGATAGGATACGACAGCGAGCCATGGAATATATAGAGAAAGCTCAGTTTTAATGTAATAAAATTTTACCATAAACACTTTTTGTTTAATTTTACAGTATAGTATAAATACTTTAGAATTTGGTAAATTAAATTTGGAATTTGGTAGATTCGTTAAATATGGTCGATGCGTCGTACGTCAGACAATAAAAAATATAAGGAATTAATTTATTCTGAGAATTACAACAAAATCATTAGTTGTTTATCAACATTTTAGAGATTTGTTTTTGTTTTTTAAGCTAATCGTTGTATATAATTTACTTGTATTCCACCTTTATGATATGAAAAATAAAATAAACCTTTACTAAAAAAAAAACTACTGTTTTTACTAAAATAGAAAAAAAAACTTTTATTACCAAATTAAATCCTTATACATAAAAGTCTTATTACTTTTAATATTGCTATTAATGTTGCTATTCAAACCAGTTTTCGGCATCGGTGGGGGCGGTGGAGGCGGCGCTCCTGTACTGGGAGTATTCTCCTGTGGCACTGAATTGTCAGTCTTATGACTATGAGACTCCGGTATAAAATTATTTGGCACATACGTACCATAAATAGATACTGGCTTGCAAACTGTATAACCAAGTTTAGCATAAAAATCCTCCTGTCCTTTTGTTGATAAATGGATCATTTTTAGATGCAATACGTTTTTACAATAATCTTCAATATACCTCATTAGGTAACTGCCCAATCTTTTGCCTCGGAGATTTTTTTTTATTACTACAGTTTCTACGAAACAACTCTCCGGGATACTAGGGATTGGAGTCAGTTTGCAATGGCCTATGACAAGTTTTTTGTCGTCAACTATAATAAAACTTGTCGGTAAAGCATCACACGACGCTTGCAAAGACATCATTCTGGCTGTTTCGCTGCGCGGCCATTCTTCGTTTATCAAGTCGCAGCATTGCTTTAAATACTCTGGATAATAATGAAGTAATAATACTGAAAGATTTTCGAATTCCATTGATGGGTTTCCTAAAAAATAGATAAAAAACATTATTTTACTTTCTTATTCTATATTTTATAATAGGTAATAAATAGAAATAAAAGTGGGTTAGTTACAGCCTCGAGAAGTTTGAAAATAATTTAATATCTTCTAAAATTGAGACAATGTAAATTATTCTAAAGCTAAATCAAAGTTGCCAAAATTGATTTATATAATCTAATTCTATTTTATATACCTACATACATATCTGTCACGTATGTCTCTCATTAGGGTAGATATTTTATTTTATACATTTTACATTCACTCTACCCTTTTCAGAGTAGGCGAAGAGAACCGAATATCAGGCCTTGTAAGGCTCTTGCTTCATCCACTTTCATAAATAAATCTTTAGTCATATTTCTTACTCTTGACTCTTTCAGATAGCACACGCTCTATCTAATCATTATAGATAAGTCTATTTCTCTTTACTTGCATCCTTCCTCTTTCACGCTGTATAATACTGAATTTGCCACAACTTTTGTATTAATATAATTTTATGGTAGAAACTGAAGCTATCAGATAGCAACCCAGGAACTGTCAAACTTACTGTCAAGCATGTCAAGGAAAAAGCCAAATCAAAAATTACTTATATACTTATCTAATGATCTCAAATACAATTTTATGTTTGGTTAATTAGTGATTATTTTAAATATTTACGATGATAATCTTAATATAAAAACAGTGTAAACTTACCAAGCACGAGCTACTCATATCTGAAGTCATATTTCGCTCAATTTAAACGTATGTACATTTTATTTTGCGTTTATAAACGATGCACCACTCGCGCACGCGAGGCAGCGTCGAACTAACCTATTTTTATCTGTCAGGCATTCATAAACAGACGTGAACGGCTTTTGTTTGCGTAATCTTCCGTAATGCTGAGCATGCAACTAATGTAATTGTCTTGTCCAAAGAAATTGTAATATAATTTACATAAAAATTCGGTCACTACCATACATGCTATAATAATATATAATAGACATAATATTTTGTTATTTAAATCCTGTTTACTGATGGTTCAGAAAAGTAATTTATGAAAAGATTAATTTATGCATTGTTCAAAAAAGATTAAACTAGGAAGATTTTTACTTATATTACGGATATGCCGAAACCCGGAAAGTAAACAATACTTTCACCAACAATACTTTTTTTTTTTAATTATAACCACTTATTAAATTGAACCTTGTTAATAGATACTTAGTGTGTAATTTTATTTACATTTATAATGGAATTAATATATTTAACAGTCATAACACCTACTGTTTTGTGTATAATATATTCATTGTGGTATCATAACAATATCAGGAAATTAATAAATAATACTACCAAACATTGTGAACTTATTACCATTTTTAGCAGGTCCAGGCCAAATTACAGCCTTCAGATTTCTAATGTTATAATTGTTCTAATGAATAAACTAAACAAATATTTAATGGATTTTAGAAAACCTTTCACTGAAAGAAAGCTTAATTATAAGTGAGAAAAAGTTTGATTATTAACTGTTTACATTTGAGCCAAACCGGAAACAAACCCGGAACCTTATTTATGCAATTTGAACATTATGCACAAAAAAGTATGAAAAAAAATTATGCAGAAAAAACTGCATGGAAAAGTTCACAGTACTGTTTTAACTTTAGTGCATTGATTAAATTTAAGATTTATTTTTAAAAATAAAACAGTAAAAAAACTGTATTTATTATTTCATAAATGGTGTAATAAAGTGTAAAATAAATAAATAAATACATAAAAATTTGAAGTTGCATAAAAAAAGTATATAATTTTAACTTAGGAGATGGAAGAAGATGAGGATGTGCCAACACTGTCTGCTGAGACATTCGCAGCTCTACAGGAGTTTTATACGGAGCAGCAGAAAAGGCAGGAGATACTCACCAAGTTAGAAGCTGATGATAAGCTGAAGGAAAATATTATATTTGATGAAAACTGGGTTAGCACTTTTACTTGTTATTTTAGACATAGTACATTTAAATACACATGATGTTAACAGAGATTTAAAAGAGTAACTGTTGAGTTTCTTGTGGGCTCTTCTCAACAGATAACAATCTTTTGAACCCTGTAGTAGATTAAAAAAAAATGATGATTGAAAAGTGCTTGTAAACAAGTATATTTGAATAAAGATAATTTGAATTTACTCAACCAATTTTACTAACATAATTATTATAGTAGTATGTAAATTAGGTTAACAGATAGACATCTTTGGACTTTGGCTCTTATTGAAAATTAAGAAGCATATCATATCTATAGATTTTAAGTCAATGGTTCTGGGGAGTTAGTATGATTTTTAGACACCTGATATTTTCTTCTAAGTTTTTTTATTTATACAACTTAGAATGGCAAACAAGGTGACGGCCCGCCTGATGGAAAAAGGTAACTGTCACCTATAGACATAAGCAGTGCCATGGACATAACAGGGTGTACTGTTTCGCCCATGATACCCCCCAAGTGTTGCCATTCCTGAGGACTCAGGTGTTATTCCTCTTTACCCTGTAAATTCACGCCATATCCCACCCTTCAAACCGAAACACAGCCATGCAAACACAACTGCTTCACGGTAGAAACACGAATGGGACACAGGTGCCCAAGCAATCGACTTTTGTACAAAGTCTCTCTCTAGTAAAAAAAGTCTATGTCCCAAGTCCTAAGTCTATGTACCTAAGTATTTTTATTTTCTTATTAAATTGTTTTTTTTTTTTTTCATATGAATCTACAAATACTCATATAAAATTCTATTGTCTATAAAAATGTAGTTATGTATTTTTACAGCAATTGAGCCAATTCTGGTATGACGAGGTAACAGTGCAAACCCTTGTCAAAGTGGTGGATAAGACTGTAGCGGACGGTGGTCGGGTGGCGCTCATCTCGTGTCCCACACTATTTGTACCGGTCAAGAGGCAAATTGGGAATAGAGCTACAGGTATATTTATAATTATTGTGACAATTTAAAAAAAAAAACAATGCCTAAGACTTGCTTTATTTTATTTTTTTTTTTCTTTATTGCACTAAAATATACAGTAACAACAAGAAGTTAATAACAATGTTATCTATATATTATATATAGATAACTATATAATTTTATATATATTAATAAATTTTGCACCAAAATCGTTGTGGTAAGATCGATTTTGAATACGATTATGGTATGAAAACATTTTGGTATGAAGACAGTGAAACAAAGTACATGTATTTTAAATAATATCATACATAATTTATGTAAATATTTATTTAAATTTCTGTCTTGCACTACTACTGCCCACTCACTACTTCCTATGCCACTGCGTTAGGTTGACTGGAAGAAATCTCTTTTAGAGATAAGTTCGCCTTTGCTAACATTGTTATTAACTTATTGTTGTTACTGTATGTTTTAGTGCAATAAAGAATATATATATATATATATATATATATATATATATATATATATATAATTGAAACTAAATTGGCTTGGTTTTCATATCATTACTAGTCTCTAAGCAAAGATGCTCTATGCAATTTGTCGGATCACCTGATGGAAAGTGGTAACCATCGCCTATAAACAAGAATAGTACCATAGACATGACAGAATACGCTGACACTCATAGTTGCCCATATATGTTACCATTACTGAGGACTAATGACGCCCATTTAAGTAAGATCAACTTTCGCCTACCAGGCGCTTCGTTGGCGAAAAAGCCAAACAGGGATTGTTTATCTTGCTGGCACAGTCTAACCAGTCAAATGTACTAGTATTTAATTTGATGCGTGACTCCTGTCTCCCAACCCACCTGCGGCCTATTCCCCAATGTATTTTTTTTTAATGGATGATAATGGAATGGCAACCCCATCCGCGCTACCGGTATAAACCGGCGGGGCACCAGTGAAGGATGATAGGTGAGGATGAAGTAGGTCAGTTAGCCCATCGTGACGAATTCAACAAGAATTGTCCACGATGGTTTCCAGGGGGAGCCACGTGTAGGTCGACCTAATAGGGCATATTGCTAGCAATGGGGCTGTCAAACTCCATTGCTAACAATCCCTTTCCCACCCTCCCCAATGTGTTAGCATGATATTTATAAAAAGCTATTTATATGCCGTTATTAACGTGATTGTCACCTTTCCAGTGACGCTACTGGAGTACGACAGACGGTTCGACGTTCACTCGCCAGACTTCATCTTTTACGATTACAACACACCGGACAAACTACCGCCGGAGATCCTCGCCTCCTACGACCTGGTGCTCGCTGACCCGCCGTTCATCTCCGACGAGTGCATCACGAAAACATCTCATACAATAAAACTGCTGGCCAAAGACAAAATAGTGGTGTGCACCGGCGCCGTAATGCAGCAACGTGTCGAGGAACTGTTAAATTTGAAGTTATGTAGTTTTCAACCGCACCATAGGAACAATTTAGCTAACGAGTTCTCTTGTTATTCTAATTTCGATCTGGACCGTCTATTGAGGTGAGACTTGGCGATTTATTTATATTTCAATACAATGTAATATCTCGGATTATTGCCAAACATACATTACATACATATATAACAAATGTACAGTGTTTATACCAAGTTTTATACATGTAGTACATGATTTCGATTACATAATATGTCTCAACAACAAATTTCACAAATATACATGTCACAAATTGTACTATATATATATTATTATATGGCTGTGTTTCGGTTTGAAGAGTGGGATATGGCGTGAATTTACTGGGTACAGAGGAATAACACCTGAGTCCTCAGGAATGGCAACGCATGGGGGGTATCATGGGCGAAACAGTATACTCTGTTATGTCCATGGTACTGCTCATGTCTATAGGCGACGGTTACCACTTTCCATCAGGTGGGCCGTCAGCTTGTTTGCCATTCTAAGTTGTATAAAAAAAAAAAAATATACACCCTGTTTACAGGTGAATATAGAAAACAGTGATTACTTGCTCAATATTGCAAGAAGTCAGGAATTTTTAGGAATTTGTTAATAATAGCAATTCTAATAGTCACAAAATATTTGTAATTTTAAAAGGCCATATTTTTTTGAGAAAAATTTTCAATGTCACTAGTAGAATACTCTCCGTATATATTAATATCCACTCATTTTTATAATGCCACTGTGATGGCAGGCAAGCATACGGCCTATCTGATGGTAAGTACCTTCAAGAAAACAGCACATTCCTTTTTAAAAGGCCGGCAGTACACCTGCAATGCCGTTGGTGTTGTGGGTGATCATGGGCGGCGGTAGTCACTTACCATCAGGTGAGCCGCATGCTCGTTTACCCCGTGTTGTAAAAAAAAAGTGGTTACTGTGGCCTATGAATGCATGTAATACCAGGGGTATTACACGTGCATTGTCGACTTTGAAACCTCTACCCCATTTTTGTGGAATCCCATGCTGAAGTCTCTTGGCAAAACTTTGATAGGAAACTCACACATTTTCCAGTATATACGCTATATACTATATATAGACAGACATACAAATTTATAACATTAGTATAGATAGAGAGTATTGTCACAAGTATTAATAAGGATAGGTCGTCTGAACTGACAATTTATTTATTACTAGCTGTTCCCCGCGACTTTGTCCGCGTTTCCGTCGTTTTTCGTAAAATAAGTAGCCTATGTCCTTCCTCACGGTTCAATGGTTTTGATGTAACAGACACATTTCCCTTCACTGCTCTGCTCCTATTGATCGTAGCGTGATGAAAAGTATACTATAACCTGCCCAGGAGTATGAAGAATAATTGTACCAAGTTTCGTTAAAATCCGTCGAGTAGTTTTTGTTTCTATAACGAACATACAGACAGACAAAAATTTTACTGATTGCATATTTGGCATCAGTATCGATCACTAATCACCCGCTGATAGTTATTTTGGAAATATATTTCATGTACAGAATTGACCTCTCTACAGATTTATTATAAGTATAGATTTAGCAGCTTGTCTTTATCAAACTGTACCTATTGTATAAACTTATACATTACGTAATAAAATAAAACGAAATATTTGTAAAACATTTTGCATTTTATTGTTCTCCTTAACAAAACTATTATTACAATATGCTGGTTAACATTCTCATTAATTCTCTCAAATGTGATAAACCGACGACTTTCCCTTCATTTATAATATGTAGTTTAACAATTCGCCTTTACATTTGAAGGGAGGCTTATGTAATTTATAATATTAATTTATTTTTAAATTCAATTTTATCCATGTTTCAATCTATAATAAATATAGTGATTAGGCCTTTTTATCTTCGTATGTTGTTAATAAATAGTTGGAAAATATAATTTATTAATTATATTATACAATAATTCTGTAATAACAGAATGAAACTTTAACCCTTCTTTGCATAATGGTGGAAATTTCCATCGTAACATTGAATGCTCAAAAATTATGTAAATAAACAAGTTCACTTTAAGTTGATCGTGTCTGGATACCTTTTAGTGTCCATTGCAGAAAAAAAACATAGCTGTCAAATTTATTTTTTAAACCATTTGTCTTTTAAATTTAACATGAACATGAATTATATCACCTTTACAGAGGAATAACATCTGACTCATGGGAGTACATGGGGGGTATCATGGGCGAAACAGTATACTCTGTTATGTCCATGGTACTGCTCATGTCTATAGGCGACGGTTACCACTTTCCATCAGGTGGGCCGTCAGCTTGTTTGCCATTCTAAGTTGTATAAAAAAAAAAAACATGATTTATTTCACCAATAAAAAAAATATGCAAAGAAGGGTTAAGATAAAATCGAAATTAATAGCTCTGTGAACGCTCCCATACAGAGACTTAGATATAATAATAATATAAGCCTTTATTAAAGAAGTAACTATAAAAAATTCAATGTAATTAATATTCAATCAGTAACTGTTCTGTCACGCCTCTCTTGTCCAAAGACAAAGGCCTCCTCCAGAGTCTTCCATTCTATTCTGTATTTGGCTATCCCTGTCCAAAATGCACCTGCAGAGACTTAGATATAACACCCATATTTTTCAAGTTTTATATAGAACTTAAGAATTTATTTATCAATATATGTATAATTAGAAACTATTCTTTAATATTACATAAAACCTCCATTCATATTTAATTCATAAACATTTCATAACAATAATGTGTGAAGTATACGGTCATACTATCGTCACATCGACTCTAACGGAGCCGCAATCGAATCTGGAACTTATTTACAAAAAGAAAAGGTTTAAAATTATAAGACAGTAGTCTAGACAGTGATGCACAATAAATAATGGACCGTATAGTTATTACAATAAAATAAATATTAGCATTACAATTGTACGCTTATAAATTAGAACATTTTAGTATTTATTATATCTACGAATTGTATTGTGTGAATACAAAATATAAATATATAATATGTACATAACGTTTCTAATTGCATGTGTGATTATATATCTCTAAAGTGGTGTCGAGAGCTTTAGTAAACTTATATGAAATACACTCTATGACCCGACTGCAATTCACTATAATGGATGTGTGATTAATGTTCTTTATATTTAGAAAACAGTGTCGCCAATTCCGATCTCGAGCCATTTAAGTTTCTACTAGAAATTATATTGTTACTGGCAACTTATTGTTTTTTTTATTTAATCTCGAATAGATTATATAAATCTGTTACTTTAACAAGCCAGAAGCTAGACTATTTTATAATTAATTATTGGAGGTTACTACAACATTTTTTTAAAGTTCCCATTACAATTTTATTTATCATATTTGATATTTTCGAGATCTCAGCACGATCGGCGTGTATGTAACGATTGGCCGGAATAAAAAGTAACTTAGTTCCTTCTCTTTACAAACTAGCTGTATCACGTGGCTCCGCTCGCGATTCAGTAATTATGTATAATTTATGTTAAGATATAACTTAACTGTATATCAAGTTTCATTCAAAAATTGTATTTTGCGATTGTAACTTTGTGTTTTTGTCAAATAATGAATGTTTGTAATCATTATTATGATTAATAAGGATGACATAAAAACTACCAATTTAGTAGAAAACTTCTTCATACTGTACACTATTTATAATATCATCTTTATCTAACATTATAAGAGTAAAGAGGTTAGTATGAATTTAAATGAATTATTCAATTGGCGATACATCACAATTGGCAACACTGGTAAGTTGGGCAACATATGCCTATAGTAAATAAAATAAAATAAAATTAAATATTTGTACTAAAATAATTCATAGACAGCCACGCCTCCATGGATGAAGCAATGTTATATGAATCAGTAAATGGCCAGCAATAATATAACTAGCTGACCCGGCAAAATGAATAACAATAGGTCTCAGAAATGAAACTCTTTAAATGCTGAAATTATTAATAATACAAACTGTCATGTAGTGATTTATTATACCATAATAATTATTATTTAAATAAAATTTAATTAATCAATTATTCATATATATCGAATCACATAAATTAAGATTGTAATACACACACATATATATGTGCTACATGTACCATACATGCTTTTTCTTTGTTTAATTAACAATTTTATTTATTTATTGTACTGGAACGCTAGCGCCCCTGCCTTGTGGAGGTGGGCGTTGATAGCCACGACACAGTTATTTTTAACTAATGCGGCTGTTATCGTACATTAATTTTACTTTTGTAACTTTTTATGGTTCCAATAAAAAAATAAAAAAAAAATATTGATGTTATAAATTTTAAACGAAGTCACAGGTCAATAGTTTCTGCAATGCTCCATCTATGGACGTTGGAATCTTCTCATCATATTATATCCAGCTCTCTCCAGCTTTCTATACAACAACCTACTCCTATATATAGGTTCTCTTTCCAAAATACATATATCATTCTCGCCTACCTACTTAACAATTTATTGGAACTATCTACAAGGCCATTTTTTTTTCTACTGGGGTCGGCTAGACAGCCATTTTTAATTTTTTTTTTACTTAAATTCATTTTCTTTTTGGACGATTGTCAAAATTTTAATTACACTCTGCAATCATTCATAAAGATTTAAAGTAATTGTTAGAAATAATAAATATAAAACAGTATTTAGGTATAACACGCCATTAAAAGCTTTTACGATACAAAATTCTCATGTCTCAAGACTTCATACCGTTTCCTCTCTTTTATTTTTAACAGTTGTTTTGAAAACATTCCAAATTTGATGATTCAAATTTAGAATACGAATAGAAATATTCAAATTTTAATAACTATATATTATTTAAATATATCAATTACAATGAAATATAGTGAAAATTAAACACTTAGCTGTCAAAGGTAAAATGAAAGAATGGAAACGGTCTATGCCATAGACACTATGGTATTCAAAAGCTCAAATATGTTTTGGTTCACGATAACCTAGTACGCATGTGTATAGCTTTAACAGTATGAAAGCTCACAGAAGCGTTACCATCGTAGGGCAGAGTTATTAAAATTATGTCAAGTATGTGTCTTTATATAATATGTTAGACCTCTAACCACACATAATAGAACACACAAACTATATTTGTATAGAAATTATTAATTATACTTATAAACTTATATATATATAAACTTATATCTAAGAAGGAAATAATTTAACACGCATCTTATAATACAGTCAATATATTAAAAAAAAAAAAATTAGAAACTAATCAGAGACATGACCCTGTAAATGTCAGACGAGAAATACTATTAAACAATTGAAATTGTTACAAAAATAAAGTACGATCAGTTAGCATTTGTGCCAATAAAAAAAATATATATATAGAAAATAAACGTGCAAATAATATAATATCACAACCATTAGCTACATATAGCTACAGCTAACACCGCCTGTACGGGGGGGAAAGGGATTATTAGTAATGGAGACTAAGAATCCCATTGCTAGCAATATACCCAACCAGGTCGACCTCCTCGCGGTTCCCCCTGGAAACTATCATGGTTAATTCCTGATGAATTCATCATGATGGGCTAACTGGCCTATTTTCATTCTCATCGATCAACCTTCACTGGTGCCCCGCCAGCGTATCCCGTTAGCGCAGACGGGGTAACCATTCCATTTTCATCCAATAAAAAAAAAACACCGCCTGTACGACTTACTGCAGGCAAGTCTACCAAACAAACAATGTATGTACGTATCGGATCATTGAATTGATCGCTTTATGACGGAGCCAACTATTTCATATAATAATTATAACCTATGGTTTTGTCGGTGAACGGTCTTATCCCAACCAGTCTGGAACAACATCTCAGACGGTTGGGCTTCCGAGGCGGCTCACTCCCGGGAAAGATGCAGAGAGCGGTGCTCTTAGATTCTGCCCGCATTGTACGCCGGTTTCTCTCCCTGGGGCCCTACACCCCGGCCGACTGTGCTTCTTTATTTTTTTTTTTTTTTTTTTACAACACAGGGGGCAAACGAGCATGCGGCTCACCTGATGGTAAGTGACTACCGCCGCCCATGATCACCCACAACACCAGCGGCATTGCAGGTGTGCTGCCGGCCGGCTCCTTAAGAGGGGAGATGTAAATTTTTGTAAAAATTAAAAATAATAATAATAAAGTCAGAAAATTCTTAGATATAGAGGAGAATGAAGTAGCCACCCGTCATACACAAGCATAACCTTCCATACAAACATACACACTGCACTTACTTGGTCACGTACCCGTAAGTGTAGTATATTTACCAGCGCTAAAAGCTGAAAAATTTGGAAGACAAATAAAATAATAATAATAATGAGTTTATTTCATCTCCACAAATTACAATTAAAAAATTTTTAATGTTCCCTAAAAAAAAATCTATTTCAATTCTGGCAACACCAGTTATTTTTATTTCAAAACTTAATCCTTGAACCGATTTAGATAAAATTTCTATAGAGTCAATCCGTAAGTATATTTTTTCAGATAAAAAAAAAAAAGATATTTCCAAATCGGTTTACAACTGACGGAGGTATGAGGTAATAAACCTAAAAAAATACATCCGAATTGAGAACCTTACATTACTTACATCATGAAGTGATCAATTGTATGATCCGACCAC